GGACGGCCCGGCCCGGATTTTTTTTAAAAATTTTTTCGCCCGACCCGGCTCGAGTTTTATATTTTCAGGTCCGGCCCGGTTTCTGATTTATATAGAGAGTTACCATTTTTTCTTGAAAATAACATTCTCACGAGTGAGAAATCGTTGTGGCCTTGTAAGTGTATGTAGCTCCTATTGCAATTTTAGATAGAATAGGATCAAGCAAGTTTTTATAGTCTCTACACCCACGTTTTATCCCTCGTATTTTGAAATATGTATAAAGCGAATCCCTGTTTCGAAATCAATACTATATCTAAAAACAGGTTAAACATCCGTGTCAATGAAAAAAAAATTTAATAATACGAAGCCTAGGCCGTGCCAGGAATTTCTCAGGAAGGGGATGGTGATGGTTAAGATGGGAAAGTCATGTTGCAACTTATTCCTCTCCACATCTTATTAGCCTTCGATCGGGCTACCCTTATTTTTTTAAAAAAAATAATATTTGTTTTACAAAAAGTTAGCTCTAAGGATGTGTCATGGTGACTTAAGAGCTTTTGAATAGTATTTGTTAAACGGGTTGATTTTTTTTAAAAATGGCTAAATTCAATATTTTCGCCAAGAAAAAAATACTTAAGCTTCGAGATTGGTATTAATAGATGAAACCATTCTGCTATCTACGAGAAAGATCTCCAGACGCAAGTAATATTTTTGGCTGAAATATTGGGTGAGCCGTTTTTCACAAGGTAGGCAGGGAAGACCAGGGCTGGTTAAATCAATTTCTTAAGTTTAACAACACTACTTTTGGACGAGGACACCTAGGTTTGTTTTAAGCGTTTGAGTGACATTTTTATTTTTCAAATTTTTTTTTATCATATTATTTAGCCGGTTAAACAGCTGACGTTTAGTAATAAATCTAACCATGACCTAACAATTTTTTTTATAAGTAATTATTTAAAAAATATATATATCGTAGATAACCTGGGCCATCTAACACGGTGGGAGGTTTACGAATAAATCGCGGGAAATTTCGGGTGGTGGAGGGGGAGGGAGGGGGTCTAGCCTTTTAGTCAAAATATAGAGTCAGTCACTATCCGTTATTATAATTGAATAATTTTGTGATAAGGGTTGGGTATTGTTAAAGATAACTGTCAGTCATCATCTATCATATTCTATCCAGAGCTTCAAGCTGCTCTGGGCTCAAGATGAAAAAAATTTTTTGAACCAGGCCTAAAGTAAGTTGGGTGTCTAGAAATGTCAATCAAAATTTTTTTTTTTAAAAAAACGATTTGTTAAAATGTCAGTCAAATAAATTCGAAAACTTAATAAAAAAATATTTCCGATATCTATAACTTTGACTTATTTTTTTTTCTATTTCAAAATTCAAATTTATCTTACAATTTACTTTAAAATTTATATTATGTCAATTTTCAAAAATCTAACAATCTACTCCTACAACATTCTTGGCCTACTTTCAAAAACAACTATACTTAGGAAACTCCTTGATCAATATGATATTAACATTATTTTAACACAAGAATCACTTATTACTAATAATATAAAAAAAAAAAAAAGAGAAAACAAAACAAAACAAAAAAATAAATAAATTACAAATTACAAAAACTAATTCTTCTTCCTCTTTACTCCTTAATCACCCCCCCCCCTCTCCTTTTTTCTAATACATATTCCTATCTTATCTTTTATAATAAATAAACATTATTTACAATGTGGATCCTGGCTTATCCACGAGTGGTACCCGTCATCCCACTCAAATTAAACGGGACCCTGACAGTAGGGTAAATTACTGTCAACTTTGTGGATCCTGGCTTATCCACGAGTGGTACCTGTCATCCCACTCAAATTAAACAGGACCCAGACAGTAGGGTAAATTTTCTGCCAAACAGTGAATGCAAATTCACTGCACTGGAGACGCCCTCTATGGGGTGGTGGAGTGCCCACTTAATTGTGGGATGTCTCCTCAGTGTATAATATGATATGATATGATAACTTTGACTTGCGATATTTTAAACATTTTGATTTTATAAATATTTTTTATAAAACTATTTCTCTATTTTTTTCCTTTTTTTTTCCTTTAAAACAAATCTATTTTTAAAAACAAAATCCAAAATTTACAACAAAAATCGATATCTTCTCATATTTCATCTTATGAAGATCTTTATTCTAAATTTTTTATTTAAAATTTTTTTTATATTAATTTTAAGACAAATGATATTCATATTAAAAGTATGATTTAAAACAAGTAGTAAATTAATTCTACGTTTATTTTTACATTTTAAAATAAAATACAAAATTAATTAAAAATTGGAATAATTACTATTATTTATAAAAAAAAATTCAAAATTAAATAAAAATTAAATATTAGGCCCTATCTTGGTTCGCCATATTTTTTTTTTAAAATCTTATTTCCGTTTCGACCAGCCTATTCAGATTTTTAAGTAGAACACGCATCCTAATTCTGTTTATTTTTAAAGTGTATGACGTAGTGCTGTTTAAGCCGATTCTTAAAAAATGGCTAACTCGATAATTTATCCAGAAAAATAATACTTAAGCCCGAAGATTTTGGTCATAACAAAGGTTTGGACATCTGTTAGCGAAATCTAGAGGGTTATGCAACGACATAATAATACCTAGACTAACGATGAAGTCATAATAATGCATTTTAAGGCGTCGTTGATTGCAAATCAGCTGGACCCGCCATTTTAGTAATCCATATAGTTATTATTCACATCTCATGCAATTGATAACTTACTTCCTTATTATCTCGATGATCAGGTAATTCTTTAATAAAGTTTACGTCAGACATAGGAATAAATTGGCCTCTCGTTTAAAATTTTTAATATATGGGTAATCAAAATATGGTCCCCAGCTGTTTTCATTGATGTACACTTTTAATGAATGCGTCTTCAGTCTAGGTATTATTACATGTCATTGGTAAGGATATAGCCTTAGATTTTTAGCACTAAAATGGGGAAGGGGGAGGTGGTTACTAAAAACTGTAGTTATAATTTATTGATTTTATTCAGTTTAAAAATACCTAGCTCCCGTTCCCGCTTTCACTCCTACCTTCTCACTCAAAAGTAGCTAACTCCCGCTCCCGCCCCGCTCCCGCTCCCGCTCCCGCCCCGCTCCCGCTCCCGCTCCCGCTACTACATTTTTAAAAGGAGCTAGCTCCTGCTCCAAGTAATGGAGTGCCACTCCATAGCCGCTCCTTTGATTTTCAATTTTTTTAGAAGGTATACGAAACAAAATCATATTTTTTTTTATCAAAAAGCTTTATTTATATTAAATGATCTATCAAAATATTTATAACCTTTTATTAGCTTTTAAAAGTAATAAATTTTTTAAATTAGAATCTAACAAACATCCACGCCTCTCCCCTAAGACCTGTTTTGCAATGCTAAATAGGCACTAAACAGGAGCACTAAGGGGAAGCGGGGTATTGTATTTTATAAAGATATTTTTTAATTCAGGGAATTTATCAAAAATAGTAATTTTGGTATCATTATTTAAAAAATATTTGTTTAATATATTATCTTCCTGATGATCAATTTCATGGAATCCAAAAAAATCTTCCAAATAAATTTGTATTTAAAAGAAAGATTTTTTACTTTTAGATGCTTTTTTAGATTGAAGCTGCTCACTTTTGAAAATTAAATAGTTTTATTTAAACACACAAGACATTGTGCCCTTAAATTTTTTGATCATTTGGATCAACATCTTTTAAAAGTTTAAAATATTTTTTGTATGATGGAAATGAAAATTCGATTTCTTCATCTATGATCTCTAAATCCATAATATCTAAAACTATTTTTTATTATATATCTATAAAATGAATATATTAATATAACTTACAAGATTTTCTAAAAAAATTTTCAATATAAAAAGAAAAACTTGATGTTTAATATTTAATGATTAGATGAAAAACCAATATAAAACTCGGCTAAACATTTTATGGATAAATTTAAATTAAATAAAATTTCATTTTTATTTTTAATTAATAAATATTATTAATATTTAAAAAATAATTTAATTTTATACATTAAATTTAAAGGAAAGGTGGAGCGGCGCTCCTCCACTCCAGCCCTAAAAGGAGCTAGCTCCCGCTACCCTTTAAAAAGGAGTGTTTTTGAAAAAATGTAGCGAAAAGACTTTTTTTCTTCTTATAAATTTTTGTTGTCGAAAGATCAGATGTTTTCCAGAATGGTATTTTTTATCAATTTAATAGTAAACTAAATTTTTGCATATTTTGTTATAAAAAATTTATATGTTTAATCTATTATTATTATAAATGTTAAAAAAAATTAAAAGTACTTCAAGGGTTCAAGGCTATATTGTCTGGAATTCACGGGGTTAAGGAATACCTCTTATACATTTGGAATTCGTTTTCGGAAAAATCATGTATTCCCTAGGTTACCCTAACCCCTCATTTCTTAGTTACCGCGAATTCGCTGCGAAATTATAATAAAATATGCCATTAATTTTATATTCTCGATCACAAATTGGCGCTAACTGTGAATGAGGAGTCGTAATATAGAAATTTAAAAAAAATATATATTTATTACTTTTTTTTTATAATTTTTTAGTTATGTGTCTAGAGAGTCACAATTCAAACTAAGCACAGGAGAATCGATATTATTATTTATTTTTTTTCATCGCACGGATCAGCTTATATATTATAAAAGCTCCCTATTTCTTTAGGGTTTCGTCACGCAGATCTCGTATAAAATAGGGGCAATAAATTAAACATAGAAGAAGAGAGAAGAACAATAGTGCAATAATATATTTCATCCGTATTTACATCTGTGATTTCCATCTTTTTTTAAAAAAAATTCTTCCGCGCGATAATTTCGCCATTTTATACTAAAAATTTTTTTTTAAAATACGACATCGCCATTGTTGATTATAAACGACCTGAAAATTCAAATATTAAAGGCTAAAATTGATCGATTTAAACGTTCAAACATCATTTTTTTTAACGCTCATGCTACCTACCGACTATATGCTATCTTAAAATCAAATGCAAAATATCCTTATTAACACCATAATCGGAAAGGATAAATAAATATTGAGTACACTTAATACAAAAGGCAAACAACACACCTAATTTTCTTTAAAATTATTGTTAATTAAACAAAATGATTAAATGATCACATCTAATCACAAATACGAAAAAACTCCTTCCAATGAGCAGCTGCCCGATTTTGCTGTGGATGATCCCAACATAACCCGGCATCCTTTACTCCCCGAGGATAACGGATCGGGCGCCGTCTATTACGAGGGGACCGAGACTCTTCCCGATTTTACCTTCAACCCTCCCCCGCCCCTTCCTCCTTCGTTGACGGGCACCGGAAATATGGATCGATTTACCCCTTTGATCGATAACAAAGACTACACCCTGGGCTTCAAAGACGGTTCTGGGTACGGTTATCATCCCTACACGGACCGGGATCAATATCCGTTCGATAAAGACTACAAGGCACCCGATTTGAATAACATGGACTACTACAATAATATCAACTATGACAATGACTTTACCAACGGTGCTAAGTTCAACGCCACCACATCGCCACATCACAGTAACTTGACCAACTTCACGTCACTGAATTACGACCAACAGAAAAACCCTTACTCTGACCCTCCCCAGAAGCCCAAAACGGCTCAACAACCAATCAAAATGCCTCCTTCTCTCGCGAACGCCTCTAACATCAACCGACGGGCCGATAAAATTTATTCGTTGGAAGATCGTAACTATTATAACAAGGCGGGACTCTTGGGACTATTGGCTCATCCCATTTATCTCTTCAAGAACTTTTGGAACCGGAGGTCTAAGTTGGAACGAGCGTTTCTGAGTTTGCTCCTTTCCTCCCTTTTCGTGATTATGGTCCTAAGTTTCGTCATCAAAGCCGGAAATCAAAGGTACGGGAAATTATTGAACCGACTCGATCTAATCACAGGTACAAATACAGATTATAACTATTAAAATTTTTATAGAAATTTACTATATTTGCGCTTTTTATAAAAGTTGGTATTTAATATAAATCACCAGAGAGCGTTCAAAATCGTTTTTAATACAGCGGGAAAAACTTTTTTTTAAAAAAATATCAGCTGATTAAAAGTGACCTTCCAAATTCTTCTTAAGTGCTTAGAAGATTAAGAAGTTGCAAGAATAAAAGCTAGCTATGATTAGTTGCGTAATTGGTTAAAAACTTTGCCTACCTAATTAGACTTAGCCTGAAAGAAAGTAAGACAGAAAGAAAAAATTGGCTAAAACTAATTAGTCACGAATTATGCATCGGCTAAGGAGTCCGCGGCTAATTTTCTGTCAGCATTACGTAAGATACGCCTAACCTTAATTATTATACTTAAAATTATTAGTGCATTCATATTTCTTACATAACGCTGACGAACTATTATCCAAGCTCCGATGCCTAATTTCTGATCAATTAGTTTTAGCCAGCTGAGCCATTTTGGCATCGGCTAAAATTAGCCCATTACGCAACACTAGCTACGGACTGCTTCGAATTTAACATAAGGAATAAATCGTGCGATGGTTTTTGACGTTTTTTTTTTAAAATTTTTGATGTGTACTCGTGCGTAGAGACCCGATAATTAGATATTTTACGAAGAAAAAGAAACCGGTATCAAAATTGTGTCATTTACTTTTATGATCATATCTTTTATTGCCCTCTCAAGATGCCCCGCAATTTTAAACAAAATAGTGAAACGATGAACGTTAATCAAAACGTTAGAGTCGATGGAAAGCAAAGACAACTAGGATAGCGGACAATGGCGCAGGTGAACAGGCCTGCGCCTTAGGGGGACCAATTGTATTGTCCGCATTAGTGTTGTTAAACGGCTAAATCATTATTGTATCCGGAAATATGGTTTAAATCTCGCGATTTCGCTAATAGATGTCCACAAACAGTTGTGCCATCTACGAGCAAGATCTTCAGCATGGCGTAATATTATTCTGGATAAAATATTGAGTTTGTTGGTTTTTAAATATCGGCTCAAATCGAACCGTTTAACAACACTAATTCACAGCATCATTGTTTTAAAGCTACTGGCGATTAGTATTTTGTGTTAACAACATTTTTATATTTACAATAATCTTTCTCTATCTCGAAACAACCTCGTGTAACTTTTTCTTCATATAGGTTAATGCTTTTTCTTTTTTAATACGTGTTGTGTTCCATCCGTATTCCTTTTAAAAATAAAATGAGGTTTATTGTTTCTTAAATATATTTTTTATTTCTTTTTCAAAACTTTCTTCTTTTTTTTTATCGATCGCAAAAGCAAAATATATATTTGGAAAGGAGTTTTTTTTTTTAAAATTTGATTCCCATTTATAATATTCTTCCCTTTTTCTCGAATTCCTTATTTATTTATTTTTTGGAACTCCGAAATTGGTTCATCAGGTTCAAATTTCGGATAAATCACGTGAACGAAGAAATTAAATGGATTTATTACCAAAAAAAAATAATGGGAACATTTTACTCCACCAGGCAGCACATCATTTTCAATAGATAGATAGATAGATAGATAGATAATGATAATATATATTTTGTTTAAAAATATTTCTTTGTTAATACAGTGGAAAGAAGAAATATAAATCTAGCTAAGTTATTAAACGGCTTGATATTTTAAAAACAGCTAGGCCCCAATTTTTTAGCCATAACTCATCACGGGAGCTTAGAGATCTTACATATAGAAGGTAGGAAGGTTTGGATATTTATTAATGAAATCTTGAGGATTACATATATTTTTTTGGGTTAAAATATTGGATCAGCCGTTTTTAAAAATCAAGCCGGTAAGAACTTCGATATTTTAACCCCCGGAATTATTTAAAACTCACCAACCCATTAATGATATAAGGGGAGCAAATTGCACCTCCCCACCCTCTCCCGGCTAGTTCATGTTGAAACCACGTGAATGCGGAAGGGATTTTGGGATTCAAAAATATGAATGATGCAAACTTTAAGTCAAATATAATTTAATTTGAACAAACATTGAATTGAAATGAGCTTTCTTTCATCTTTTAACAGTCCATCTTTGCAGCTAACGCATTTTTCCAATTCCTGTATCTCTTTTATCCAAATTCATCACTTGGGATACACAAGTATTGAGATGCCTTTTTATCTTATTTTTTATGGAGAAATCCAAGAAAATTTAATATGCATTATTAATTTATTTTAATAATTAATGAATTAAATATTAATTCATCGAATATAATAAGCCAGGCATTTGATGGTACAAATATCATGTCTGGCCGAAATGCAGGAGAGTACACACCCTGCTTCAAAAAAAAATTAATAAAAAAAGTGCCTTATATACATTGCTACAACCACAAGTAGCATCTTGTGGTTCAAAATTGATATGAATGAAGATAATCATCCAGATCATGATCCTCACTACATTCCGCAGGAAGAGGTTTTGAAAATACCAATATTAGGTGATGGTGATGCATTATTAATTTTTGATACAAATATTGAAGAGAATCAATCATCTCAATCTCTCATTGTCAAGATGAGTATGGCAGTGAAAAGATTTAATTTACCGATGATTTTGTTATTTTAAAATCAGCTATAGAAATGTTCTGCAAAAAAGGCCATGAATGACCCGTTAGCTGAAAATTTTAAGATTTTACTGGGTAGGTTTGAGAGGACATAATTAATTTACCAGCTTTGTTGGACATCTTTAATAAGAATTATCTTGAGCATTCATAAAACGCACATGTTGATACGATATCGATTTTAATTTTTTTTGTAAATGACCCCAATTGCAAAAATTTCGAAATATTTTGAATATGTAATACATATATTTTATTGTTAAATTATGTTATATCTATTACATGATAATATTGGTCAATACTTCATATCGGTATTTCTTTTTCTCTAAAACCTATTTATGAAAATAAGATCATCGATATTTAGCATACAAAATTTATATATCATATCGAAATGTGTTTGTTTTATTACAGCGAATGGTACTACTCATTTGCCTCAAGATAAGAAAACGCCTTCCGCAGAAATTAAACCTGATTCAAACGGGAAGTTATTGGAAGGTTTACCAAAAAAGCTAAATTAATTTATCCGCAGTTTTTTTTTACATAACAAAAAATGATTTAATAATTTCTTTTTTTTCTTTCTTTCTTTCTTTCTTTCTTTCTTTCTTTCTTTCTTTCTTTCTTTCTTTCTTTCTTTCTTTCTTTCTTTCTTTCTTTCTTTCTTTCTTTCTTTCTTTCTTTCTTTCTTTCTTTCTTTCTTTCTTTCTTTCTTTCTTTCTTTATTTATTTCTTTCTTTCTTTCTTTCTATCTTTTTTTCTTTCTATCTTTCCTTTCTTTCTCTTTCCTTCCTTCTTTATTTGATATTTAACAAAATATTAATCAAAAGTGCCACTTACTCGAGAGATGCGAAATTAATCGTTAGCGAAATCACAGCTGATTCATCACGCATTAATACCCTTTGAAATATGCGTCTATTTCTTTATTTCGCTCCGTATTTATGAATCATACATTATTGCCTTGCTTCTGTAAATTACGCAGCGATTAATTTTCATCGATGATTATATCGCGCTTACTCCAAATGCAGCATTAATTATGTATTACAAAGAAAGGGGCTTACAGACTTCAAGTTAGGCAGGTCCACCATAATAAAAAATCCCAAATTATAAGATTTTTGTATTCTTTCCGCCTACAGTGGGTGCGGTTGATCCTAAAATCTTGGCCTGAACAATTGGAGCCATATAATCTTCCATAATTTGTATCTTTTAGTTTATTCAATGGCATAATACTTAGCAAGACTGATTCATTTAGAATGCAACTTGAAGCCCCGTTGAATACAGATCAGCTAGAGACACGCCATTTTGGTTTCTCATATATAAAAGTTTTTATAATGATAATTTATTTTTTAAAAATATGAAAACCAAAATGGCCTGTCATCCAGTTGATTTGTATTTATACAAACTAAAATAAATGCGTCAGCAGTCCAGGTAGTATTGTATGGTTTCACTAAATAATACTTATTCCTTTTTTTTCAAAAATATAATATTTCGCTCAAAGATTGTATCAGCCCCGACTGCATCACCATATCCGCCAGATTACTCAATTCCATGAATCTTTCCGTTGATCCCTGCCACGATTTTTATAATTACGCCTGCGGTGGGTGGGTCCAGGACAACAACATACCCGACGGACAATCCACGTGGAACAATTTTCAAGCTTTATTCCAAAAGAACCAGTACATCCTCCGCAAAATATTAGGTACATTTTTTATAAAAAGACCCCAAATTTGAAGGAGGTGATAATTAGTGTTTTGAGCTGATTTTTAAAAAATGGCTAATTTTATATTTTAGCCAGAAAAATATTGGCTAAGTCTAGAGATCTTTGCTAATAGATGTCCAAACATTTGTGGCCATCTATGTGCAAAATCATCAGACTTGCAATTGAGATAGCCCCCTTTTAAACGCCTAAAATTCTATCCGTTTAACAACACTAGTCATAATTATTTTAATATAAAAGGCCTTTGTTTTGTTTTCTTTAATCGAACAGGTATAAAGGGGCATTGTTTATGATTCCTAAATCCAGGTTAAGGGGGGGGGGCGAGGCGGTGTTCATTCAAACATTTTGCGGAAGTAGTAGCCTGTGAGGAAGGAACTGTTTTTTAAAGTTTTTTTGTAAAATTTTAGTATTTACTTTATCAGGTGAATGCTAAATCAGCAAGTTTGTTTTAAGTCTTTGATATTTCAGAAGTTTATCAATACTGAACTGATGGTTGTTTTTGAGCTTCTTCTTAATTTCCAACGCCTTAAGCGGGAATTCTCTTTGAACTTTAAAAGAGCGTTCGCGTTTTACCTTAAATTTTTTTTAATTAAAAAAAATACGTGACGATTTGTTTTTCAAAAATTATATTATCGTCTGCCTTTCTACTTCTTTTAAATCTCTAAAATATTCCATTTTAAGATTGTAAGCAAGTTATTTTTTTCTTCTCACATTTTATATAATATTACAAAATGAAGAATAAAAATTCTCATTTTTTTTTCAAAATGGTTGCTAACGCCAAACGGTAATTTTACCAATTGGCGTGACGCCATTTTAAATTTATGCGCGCTATTAGATATATATAAGAAATACGCCCTTTCATTTTTATAAATCCATAGATGAAGGTTTTTTTTTAAAAAAAATCATTATTCTCCATTTTGAAAAAAAAATAACTTGAAAACGTTTTTAAGACCTTGATCAAATTAACGATCCTTTGTTTGTTTGAGATAAATACATAAATAAAATATGTAAAGAAAAATATATGGCGGAAGTAAATCGAAATCGATATATAATTTTTTAACTGCATTATCTTCGATCAAAATCAAAATATTTAGAGAACACTTAGTAATCATATCTATTATGATTACATTATAAAATCCCCGTTATAAAAAGTATTTATTTTAATTCCTTTAATAAAATATATAAATTTTATGCGCGAAATATTCCCGAATGTTTGCACCATAATCACGCGATTGTTCCTAAATTTTTTTAAAGTCGCTTGTTATCGCAAGTTAGAAGATCGGAAATCCTTTAGGATAAAAAAAAATTATTTTGTTTAAGTTTTAACTATCGATTTAAAAATATGAGCGAGGAGATGATGACTCATGATGATTTTTTGGCGGGTAAGGTATATGATACCCCGTTTTAAGTAACCCCTTTCTGTTTTAATTACATTACCATTCCCTTTTGTATAAAGAGTAGCCTCGTGGTAATCAATTTAAAATGTTAAAAGAAAGAAAGAAAGAAAGATGTCGCACAAATATTCCACAGGGGAACATTGGATTATTTATCACTTCATTTTTTTTTTCAATTAGCATTTTAATTAAAATTTTTAGAATAATTTTTATTTGAAAAAAATTTTTTTTTTAGTTTGATACTATAAATTAAATAACTTGTTTAATTAATTTCAACGTGATGTGAATGTAAGAAAAATATTTTTATTTCCTGAACGAAAATAATTTTTTTACAACACAATGGAATCTCTAAGGAAGGATAAATCATCTTATTGTTAGAAAAAGTAAAATCGAAATGATTCAAAAAAAAATTTTTTTTAAGCTGGAAATGGCAACTTAAAACTGCGGAGTTTCGAGTGTATCGACATATAAATTTAATGCGATGATTTTTTTTTCTAAGTTTTTGAGATGAAAAACGTTTCCATCTTATTGCGTATATAGTTTTGACTAATTGAACGGCTAAATTTTCATTTTTAGCCTGCACAAAAATGGCTGAACCTAATTTTTCTCCGGCAAAAACGGCTAAATCTCGTTTTTAGCCAGCAAAAAATATAGGATTAAATTTAATTTTTTGGCAGCATAAATGGGCCAAACCTAGTTTAGGTGATTAAAACCGGCCTTACCCAAGTTTTAACCTGCAAAAAACGGTTAAACCTATTTTTCAGTCAAAAGCGATCCCCTCAGATTCGGTTTATCGTATTTTATTTCATCACGCGTGTGCCTCACGTTTTGCGAAGATTTCCTTCAAGGCGTTAGTGACCGTGGAACGAGATTCCCATTGGTGACTAAAATATAAAATATTTGACTATATCCTCCCCCTCCTTTCTAAAATTTCAGTGACGCAATCGCATCGTCTCTTCCCCTTCCCGTATTTAGAAGACCTTTATTTATTTATTACGCTTCATACAAAAATAAGAGAGGAAAGAGACAACGTACGAATCCGAATCGGAAGTTAAGGCCAAAATATATTATGAATCGTGTCTGGACGAGAACGATACCATCGAAATGTTGGGAGCTCAGCCCATATTAGATCTGTTATCCCGATACGGGGGCTGGAATTTTTCGGCTCTTAACGAACCCTCAATAACACCTTTTTCTTTCAACCTGAGCAGTCCCGATAAACTCAAACTTAAAAAACAAGAAGGTATATATATATATATATATATATAATCATAACAAAATGATCAATCATTTTTTTTTTGTTTTTTTGATATATTTTGTTAATTCTATCTGTTTGGGAAATATATTAATAATTTATAAGATCTTGTTTATCAATTAATATGGCGTGTCTGGGGCTATGATCATCAATAATATTGATTTCAATTTTTAAATTTGCTTAAGTTAGGGCATATGTAAGCCAATTTCACGGGAATTTTTGAATGACTAGGACGAGACGCCAAATTAATTTATAGCTCAGTGTTAGATATTACTCAGAATCTCGTGCAACTAGAAAGACGTTTATCATAAAAATATTGCATACAAAGTGTGGAGGTTTTAGCAGGGATTCGGGAGTGAATCGACCCGTTATAACGGAATGATTTACTAATGTTCTGAACCGTAACCAAATTTTTATATGCATTTGCTAAAAGGGGTGAACCGAGCCTATATATTTTGTCTGAACCGGTTTAAACCCGTTTTGTTATCTTATCTTATATATTATAAAATTGTAATTTTTTGATAAATAACACTATTTATTTTAATTTTTAATTATTATTTTTTTCATTTAATGTATACTGCTGTAGAACTTATCAAGTTTAGGCTATTGTTAATTCTGGAAACTCCCCAAATTTGGCCAATTTTGAATCCCAATCAAATTCTTATAAACTATTATTAGAAAGTAAAATAAAGTATCTCGATAATGGGAAACTGTTTAAGTTGGAACAGAGATTTGGTTCAAACTGTGCCCAAATTAAGCAGGTTTTACTGTCGTTAGGCGTTTAATTTCACAACTCTGCATCGGACCTATTTTTTCAGGTTCAATTCTTTTCCAGACTTTTTTTTCCCCCAATGATTTGAATTCAATCCGAAAATTCTATTTAGAAATAAATAACTGATTTATTTTTCACTGGACTGTTGAAAATGTCCGATACAGTCAAACCTGTCTAATTTGGGTACCATTGTGACCAAAATTTTTGTTCAACTTAGACAGTTGCCAAGTCTATCAAGACTTTTATCTAACTTATACAGTTATTAATTTATCAAAACTTTTTTTAAACTTTCTATTTGATTGTTAAAACTATGGTCAAATTAGGGTGTTCCCCGAGTTTTTCCAGAGCCCAAATTATTTTTTACTGACAAACCTTAAAATATTCATTGGATGTGTCCTAAATATCAATAATATAATTAATAAACTTTCGTAACTTTAACTAAAAAGGAGAAATAATGCTATTTTTAAATGTAAAAATAAATTAGTGACCAAATCATTTTTTTTTAATTATGAAAGTTCATTCATTTTTTAAAGTTAGAGAAATTATAAAAATTTAATATATTTTACCTTAAAGTTGGTAAAGTTGTGAAATTTTTACGAAATAGAAGTAAGTAATAATTAGCTTATAATTTCAAATTCTAATAAGAAATGGGCAGTTATGTTAATCAAAATAGGAAGTATAAGAATAATTTGGTACGAATTATATATTTAAGAATTTACAAAACGTTTAATGGAAGATTTTGCATATGTTTGGATAAAGTTACCAAAGTTTTGAAATTTTGACAATTTTATAAACATATTTAGGACATAACCTATAGTGCGTATTATTTATTTCCTCATTCTCAATTAAACATTAATTTCTCGCTTTTTGTGTGTCTTTTTTATATTATTATTTTTAAGACAAAATTTGGTATACATAATTACAAGAATTTCTTAACCCGAAAAAACTTTTTTAATTTATCTAAAGCCACCATATATGAACCTTTTAAAATTTAAGGCAGGTGACCGTAACTTAACCTTTACCTTTTTTATTTTTTTTTCGCGAGCCGTTATAACGGTTTGGGTCCCTTAGTGGTATAAAATATAGATGGAAATTAGTGATCTTTTTTGAAAATAATTTTGGATCAGGCCTAAATAGATCACTAATGGAAATAATTCCTTTTAAGTCAGAGATCTTGCCAGACTGGTTTGGGCAATTATTAAGGATCCATGCAAATTTTATCCTTTTTTTTATTTTAAATACCATATTGGTTTTATTATTATCAGGCCTAAAAAGCCGGATGCGTTATGAAAATTTTCCATCACCTGACTTTTTTTTTTAGAAAAAAGTGTTGCAGTACATTCGTAGACTTAAATTTACACAAATACATTAAATATTTAACCTTAAAATCATTATAAACATGGACATTAAAATAAAGGTTGTTCTTTTGCAAATGGCCATTATTATTTTTTAATCGTTGAAGCAGTCTATATTAATATAAGTTTATGAGTACATTACAGCAATATTATATCTTGTTTATTACACATTATTTCTTAAATTAGACAGCAAACTTTTGAGGAAATTGCTTCCAAAGGATTGGGATTTTCAGGACCGGATGGAAAGAATTTCGATGGAACTCGATATCAGCCTACTCTTCTCGGTATACGTTTCAGACGATGATAAAAATTCATCCAACAACGCTTTGTATTTAGATATGGGTAGCGATCATAATTATTTATACAGTAAAAAAAAAGACACTCCAAATGTGACCTCCAGAAAGTTACCACAGTAGATTCCCAATAAATTATTAAAATTGTTTCTAGTCATTAATCAAAGACCCCCCTTAAAAGTGGTAACTTTAAGTAGTTGATATAATTCCAAACTTACCCTAAAAAAATACTGACAATTAGTTCATTATATATATAAATTATATAATATATATATATATATACCAACCCATTTCATTGGTATGCGATCACCCATGATTTTTTATATTAGTTTTCATAATTGAGAAATAATTATTAATCTTTTAAAAAATTTGAAAGTCTTGTACACAATTTATGTAACTCAATAATTCTACGAGCACTGATATCTACTTTTAAATACTGACCGTCTATTCTAACATTCCCATCTCTTCAGGTCTGTGTGTCCATGGAATTTCTCAAATTCCATGAAAGAGAGGCCAATTCATGGTTTTGGGAATGCCTTCAACCAAACCTTCGGCATTCATGAGAAAAGGGAGCATTTGGAAATAGCAAAATATTCCGAAATTTCGGATGACCACCTATTGATCCTTTATTATTTCCACCAACTGTTGCAACTTTTGGGAAACTCGCCATATCGTTTTTTAAGAAACTAAGGGCTCCCACATGCACAAACTCACGGATGAAGCCCATGAAAGCTTCTTCATTACACCAGCTTCATGAGTAACCTCATGCCAAACGATGAAAATTTTTGATACATTTGATTTTGATTATTTATCTTATTTTCAATAAAACAAATTTTTTATTTTGTATTATATCATTTCTACTGTATTTTAATATAATTATATTGATTTATAGATAGCCTATATGTTTCCTTTAAAGTAAATTTTTTTTATATTCAATTCCTTTATATATTAATTTATATTTATTGTGCAATTACGATCAAAGAAAAATATTCACTTATGCATAAATATCCTCCCACTTCGCCAAGATCTCCAACATGTTCTCCCATCTTAATTTATCTATCCAATTTAAAAAAATTTTTTAACTATCGTCTGCTTTTTTACAATTTTTTTTAGTTTTTTTTTTCAAATGGGTAGAGTAGAAGATTCCAGAGATTATTATCATCTCATATAAGAGGAGAAATTCTGGGAGGAGGATATATAATCAATTAGCCATAAACCGATCTAACATTAGAGATTTACTACCAAAATGTAAAAAATACTATGGTTTGTGAGCCTATTCAAATTCTAAGAAATTATTCCCCAAAAATCAGCTTGTCACTTCTTCAAAAATAGGATTTGATGAGATTACTCTGGGAAATAAGTTTTATATCAACTTATCAATGAAGGCTACCTTCATTAGGACATTCCTTCCATAAGATTGTTTGTATCATACTATTTCATTCTGTCTAAGAAGAAACCATCTTCAACAAAATTACAAATGAAGGAAAAAAATTTTTAATTGGACTGAGTAATGGAAGAACACAATATGTAGCGACGAATTAAAATTTGAGTTTTGGGTCTGTAAGAAATACGGTTTTAAGAACCTAGACAGAAAGATTTCACCCTGATTGCTTAAAGAACATATAAGCTTTCAGAAAGTATTGCTATTGGCAATCTAAACGAATATATTTTCTTTATAAATAAAATGCTCCAAATATCAAGATATCCTCAACGGACTTACACATTCCATCAATTTAGTTATTAGAATATGAAACATTACATCTTCCAGAAAGATTAAGATCCTTGTCATATCGCGAAATCTATAAAATCGTTGCAAGGAGCATAATATCAATCTTTTCATTCACCCGAATACAATTGAAAACATTTTGAGATTTACTCAAACGAGAGCTTAGAAATCATATCGTCGCATTCAGATTAAGGATTTTCTTTGAATAATAAATCTGAGTTTATGGCGACAGAAGTCTCAGAATGTGTGCCAGAATCTTATTAATTCAATGCCACAACGAAAGGTACTGTTAGATAAATGTATAACACTTTTTTTAATATAGCAATAGTAGGACGGAAATTTTGAATAAAGTTTACATATCTTAAATCATATATATCATTAATAATTTTAAATATAATAAGTTTATATTTAAATGTTGTTAGTAAATATACAGTAATTTTATAACGATAAAATTTTGATGGAAAAAATATTTAAATAAGCTGTAGGTTAGTAAATGTGTGTTATCGGGCACTGCTCGTATCAGGCAATATGCGTAATATCTTTAAATTGATAACTGTAGGTATATATTACACATATTGGGAATTAGCGCGTTTTTTGAATTTAAAGGTAGAATTTCGTTTAAAAATACATTCCAGTATGTCTCAAAATAACAATCTTATAAATTTGAGATAATTGGTCAATGATTATCAAGACCTAACTCAGGTAAGGGTTTTGTTTTGTTAACCATTTTATTTTCGGATAACTCCAGTTATACCATAAATCTTTGAAAAATATGTATTAGATTTTTATAATAAAGTTTAAATTATATCTGTTGTAAATATTTTTATTTATTAATCATAATTAATATTATTATTTTTTTGTGTGAGTCATGAAATATTTTTTTTGGAGTTTTGTTTTTAATATTTTTTTTATAAAGTTTAGCGAACTCATCGTGACCATTATTATAAATATTTTTAATATTTATTATAAAAAAATAATAATAATCAGATATAAAAACCTGAAAAAGGTTAAAAAATTGTCATTATTATTATAATATATATTTTTTTAAAAAAATTTCCTTTGAAACAAGAAAATAAAGACGTTATATTGTAAAATCATTTGTTTTGAAAAGGTAAAAAAAAAATAAAGACTTTGTATTTTAAAATAATAAGAACTACCAAGTTGAAAGTTTCTAGCCATTAGAACTTCCAATTTCAAAGTTCTAATGGCTAGAAACTTTCAACTTAATTTCAAAGTTCTAATGGCTAGAAACTTTCAACTTGGTAGTTCTTATTATTTTAAAATACAAAGTCTTTATTTTTTTTTTACCTTTTCAAAACAAATGATTTTACAATATAACGTCTTTATTTTCTTGTTTCAAAGGAAATTTTTTTAAAAAAATATATATTATAATAATAATGACAATTTTTTAACCTTTTTCAGGTTTTTATATCTGATTATTGTTTTTTTTTTATAATAAATATTAAAAATATTTATAATAATGGTCACGATGAGTTCGCGAAACTTTAAAAAAAAATATTAAAAACAAAACTCCAAAAAAAATATTTCATGACTCACACAAAAAAAAAATAATATTAATTATGATTAATAAATAAAAATATTTACAACACGCCCCCATTAAATAAAAACCTTTGAACACAAAAAAAAAGTTGTTTTACAAAGACGAAAAAGGGGGGGGGGGTCGTAAATAAAAAATAAAAAGTAATCATCTATTATTCTACACATGTTCACATAAATAAAAAAATACTATGATGTTAAATATTTTAAAAGTTTTATTCCATATATTAATATCGAATTTTAATTATTCTCGAAATTCTATTAAGGAAAATGATAAAAAAAAAATTGTTTTATTATAAAAAAAAATTGTAATATTTATTCGGGTCCCATCACATCCTCCAACAACTCTTGAATCTCAGAAGGTGACAAATCGACCATAGGCCACTCCTCAGTGTAATAGGCCCTGGGACTCGCCTCCGCCGTTTCTTCTCGTAACGGCTCTATAATCGCCACCGGTCGCCCCGTCGCAGTTATGGATTGATCCTGTTGTGGTATTACCCCTATCGTTAAAGGCGGCAAAATGGTCCTAACTGACCGGGCGTCGCTCCTTCCCGGGCTTCGGCTTCTGGGGCGCGTCGTTTCCCTATTATCATTCGAGTTTTGCCTACGATTTGGCCCACGGGGGCACCGCATCTGCAAATGATTAGGCGAACCACATAAGAAACAAGAGCGTCTCCTCCTTGGGCGCGTGCTGAGGTGCCGGGGCTCCGGTAACTCGGAGTGATCTCGATTATTCGTTATTATCCCGGATACTCCCCTTTGGACCGGGGGAGATCTAGCTACTCTGTTCCGGCGTATTGGAGGCGATCGGTCTACTATGTTTCGGCAAATCGAAGGCGAGATTGGGCGCCCATCCTCAATATCATATCCTCGGAAAATACTTATTCTAATGGTTAAATTCTCCCAATAGATACAACGATGTCTACCCGACATTCTTTTTTTCAAGAAAAAAAAGTATAATAAAAAACTTTCATGATTCTCGAGTTAAAGTACATAGAAAATAATATTACCAATAGTGATAATTAACTCCAGATAGTAATACCTCCGCAATTCCGGGATTAAATCACACTTAGTTAGAGTGCCAATAAATAATGCACCAAAAAGTTAAAAATGTTGGGTATGTTAACCAAAGTAATAAATTAAAGTAAAGGATAATTTTGGGAGATGTCGGAGTCATAAATCAAAAGTTGGAAATAAAATTTATATATAGTTGGAGAATGGAATAGAAAGGAGTAACAATTGGGCTAGGAAACAAATAAAAAATGGTTCCAAGTTGGACTGAAACACGAAAAAGATTTCTACAATGACAGTTGGAAGCGAGACGCAAAACAAGGAAGGTTCCAATAATTGGGCTTTAAAAGGGGAATATAAATGCAAAATTATAATTTTTCTTTTTGTATAATTGTTAATTTTGTTAAAGAAAATTTTTCCTGTATTTATTCATTTTGGCCCAAAAGAAAAGTGAGTAAAAAACTGTTATTAATTTTTTTTATTATACTTTTTTTTCTTGAAAAAAATAATGTCTGGTAGACATTGTTGTATCTATTGGGAGAATTTAACCATTAGAATAAGTATTTTCCGAGGATATGATATTGAGGATGGGCGCCCAATCTCGCCTTCGATTTGCCGAAACATAGTAGACCGATCGCCTCCAATACGCCGGAACAGAGTAGCTAGATCTCCCCCGGTCCAAAGGGGAGTATCCGGGATAATAACGAATAATCGAGATCACTCCGAGTTACCGGAGCCCCGGCACCTCAGCACGCGCCCAAGGAGGAGACGCTCTTGTTTCTTATGTGGTTCGCCTAATCATTTGCAGATGCGGTGCCCCCGTGGGCCAAATCGTAGGCAAAACTCGAATGATAATAGGGAAACGACGCGCCCCAGAAGCCGAAGCCCGGGAAGGAGCGACGCCCGGCCAGTTAGGACCATTTTGCCGCCTTTAACGATAGGGGTAATACCACAACAGGATCAATCCATAACTGCGACGGGGCGACCGGTGGCGATTATAGAGCCGTTACGAGAAGAAACGGCGGAGGCGAGTCCCAGGGCCTATTACGCTGAGGAGTGGCCTATGGTCGATTTGTCACCTTCTGAGATTCAAGAGTTGTTGGAGGATGTGATGGGACCCGAATAAATATTACAATTTTTTTTTATAATAAAACAATTTTTTTTTTATCATTTTCCTTAATAGAATTTCGAGAATAATTAAAATTCGATATTAATATATGGAATAAAACTTTTAAAATATTTAACATCATAGTATTTTTTTATTTATGTGAACATGTGTAGAATAAATAGATGATTACTTTTTATTTTTATTTACGACCCCCCCCCCCCCTTTTTCGTCTTTGTAAAACAACTTTTTTTTGTGTTCAAAGGTTTGTAAATATTTTTATTTATTAATCATAATTAATATTATTTTTTTTTGTGTGAGTCATGAAATATTTTTTTTGGAGTTTTGTTTTTAATATTTTTTTGTTAAAGTTTCGCGAACTCATCGTGACCATTATTATAAATATTTTTAATATTTATTATAAAAAAATAATAATAATCAGATATAAAAACCTGAAAAAGGTTAAAAAATTGTCATTATTATTATAATATATATTTTTTTAAAAAAATTTCCTTTGAAACAAGAAAATAAAGACGTTATATTGTAAAATCATTTGTTTTGAAAAGGTAAAAAAAATAAAAATAAAGACTTTGTATTTTAAAATAATAAGAAATACCAAGTTGAAAGTTTCTAGCCATTAGAACTTTGAAATTAAGTTGAAAGTTTCTAGCCATTAGAACTTTGAAAATATCCAAACCCTTATTTTGTTAGGATTAGGAAGGACTCGAAGACCCCTTCTTTTTTGATCACATTGAGTGTAGATCCATCTTAAATCATTTGTCAAACAAATGTATTATGGCGTTAGTTCTATATTTATGATCATAGGTAAAACTTGGTCACGTGATGTTCCGCAAAATTCGGTTAGCGGTTTAAATTAATATATATATAAGAAATAAAGAAAGAAAGGCTAATATATACATATATAATTTTTTAGGAAGAATCAGCCTTCCTAAACGCGATTATTACCTTAACATGTCCTTGCCGGAAAACAAGGAAATTCTGACGGCCTACTTCAAGTACATGATAGGCGTGGGCCTTTTGTTGGGCGATAAATTGGAACAACAACAAAATCGGCAGCTCAGATCGTTGCTTCAAAGCAGGCTCATGTCCGGCCCCTTCCGAAAAAAAGGGGAGAATAACCTCAAGATCAACCCGCCTCTAATTCGCGCCCACCATTTGAGCTCATCCGATAAGTTCGCTCAGGAGGATATGGGTAAGTTTAAGGAATTCTTTTCGCGGTTGGTGTTATTGAGGGGGGGGGGAGATCTTTTTTTAAAGTTTAAGCCTATTACCTGGAATTATGTCAGGAACTATAAATTATTTTATCTTTAAATCCCCCAGGAAAAACGTTTTTAATATTTGTTTTTTTATTGATGAAAATCATTTTGCTCATTTTTTAAAATAATTTTTTTTTCGGATATATTATCTACATTTTCATTAATTTCTCAATTAATTTATATATATATTAAAAAAATACTACCTCTTATAAAATATTTGCCAAACACTTCAAAGAGAAATAAGAAAGAAAGAAAGAAAGAAGAGAAAGAAATGAATGAAATTATAATGTATACTATTATAAATATTAGACGTAAGCATTCTTTATTTAAAAATAATTTTTTCCCTCGTCACCCTTTAAAAGCCGTGTCGAAATTCTCGGAGAGCTTGGTCATGATGAACCTGGAAAGGGAGATTTTCGAGGAATTAGAAAACGGCGACGATTCCCTCCCGCCTAACGCCGATCGCAAGCAGCTTAACAATGCCCCTCACGATTCTAGCAATAATACGATATTTGCTCGGTCGGCGTACGCTGACTACTACAGACTCATCACTAGAAGCATGGCGAACGTTCTCACCTTCGAAACTACCATAGCTAACGTAAATAACCTAACCACGTGCAAAAATAAATAGTAGTCTGTTCAATTTGATATTCTACCGTTAACAATGACATATAATAATACCTAGACTGAAGATGCATTCATAAAGGTGTACATCAATAAAAACAGCTGCGGACGCCATTTTGGTTACCCATATCATTATTAAAAATTTTAAATCCAATTTATTCCTATGTCTAACGCAAACTATAAAGAATTGCCTGATCATCGAGATAATAAAGAAGCATGTTATCAATTACGAGAATAATTACCATATGGTTTACCAAAATGGCGGGTCTAGCTGATTTTACATTCAACGGCGCTTTCAAATGCATTGTTATGAAAGCATCGTCAGTCTAGGTATTATTTTATGTCATTGATTGCAGTATAGAGATAAGTATAAAATACTTTGCACTTGTAATTTGATCATAATAAGAATATTTATATTTAAAGATTCGTTTTTTTTTAAAAAAAATCAAAATATATTCAATTAGTTCACGCCACCCCAGGAAATGCTGAGAAACGGAGAAAGAAACTACAATCCCATGACCCTCAAGGAAATTCAGGAAAAATACGATTTTGTAATATCTTTATCATTCATTCATTTTACAACTTTTTTTTTGTATTTTAGAGATCTATTTGAAATTTCTCTCTCTTCATTTCAAGCTAAAAAAAAAATTTTGCGATAATAAAAATACTCAATATATTATTAAAAAATAACATCGCAACAAAAATACAATAACGAAATCGATGGTAAAATAAAAATATGCGACCTTAATTACGTCGCGTACAAATAATAATAAAAAGAAACATATAATTCTGCTAAATACAACACGTCCTCCTCCAAAAGAATATTGCTTGAAGGTTATCCTGAGTATGTGCCACACTACTCTTGCCCAAATAATAATTCATCCAAATCTTCCATTATGTCTTCGGTGTCTCGTCTTTCACCCATTGCACTAATATTACCCCTTTCGTCCGGTCAGGACACACACCCACCGGTGTCTCGCTTGTAATTGCCATCACCGGTCTTACTCGCTTTTCTGTATCAGTTCCCTTACTCTACATGAACACGGATCCTCTCTGACATTCTCCACCCCCTCTGAGAATCGTCCCTCCACTTCCCTTCTACGCATCATAACACAATGGAAACGGGAGGTGGTCATGTACGGACAAACGAGCTTCAGTTCCCCCTCTTTCCCTAGACAAAAAGTCGTAACTGATGGACAATGCCTCGACATAACACGCCATCATCCCTTCGTTTCTCCTGCTGAATATCCCTCTCTACCCCTGAATCTACTCAATCCGTTCATCTTCACTCTATCCATTCACCAATGTAGCACCTAGTTGAATCCTCCATTTTTCATTCCATACGGAAACCTGGTAAATTAAGACGTGGGATGATAATGGAGGTGAATTTGGTAAAGAGCGATGTACTATGGGTGTTGTATGGAATAAAAAATTTACAGATTCAACAAGGTGTTACATTGGTGAATGGACAGAGTGAAGTTGAACGGATGGAGTCAATTCAGGGGTTGATAGGGATATTCAGCTAGAGAAACGCAGGGATGATAACGTGCTATAGGTGTGGCGGTGTTGGACATATCTCGTTGTCCAACAGTGACGACTTTTAGTTCTAGGTAGAGAGGGGAACTAAAGCTCGTTTGTCCGTACATGACCACCTCTAGTTTCCATTGTGGAGAAATTCTCATGTGATGCGTAGAAGGGAAGTGGCGGGACGATGCTCGACGGCGGGGAATGTTACAGAGGATCCGTGTTCAAGTACAGGAAGGGAAGCCGACTGTCAAGATGATAGGATTGACCAGAAGGAAGGGAACTGTTACAGAGAAGCGATTAAGACCGGTGATGGCAATTACAAGCTACACCCCTGTGGGTGTGTGCTGTGCCAACTATACCGGACTAAAGGGGTAATATTAGTGCAATGGTTAAAAGACGAGACACCGAAGAAATAATGGAAGATTTGGAGGAAATATTATTGGAGCAAGAGTAGTGGGATACGTATTCTATTCAGATGAGTAAGCAATATTTTTTTTGAGGGGAGGACGTGTTGTATTTAGAAAAATTATATGCTTCTTTTTATTATCATTTGTACGCGACGTGGTTAAGGTCGCATATTTTTATTTTAACATCGATTAAGTTTATATATTCTTGTTGCGATATTATTTTTTAATAATATATTGATTATTTTTATTATCTCAAAAATTATAATTTTTTATTATTTTTCTGGGTCTTTTAAAGAAAGCTCAATAAATAAGTAATAAAGGTGACCAACTTTTGTACCACACAATTTTAATAATCAAAACTTCCACACTTATCTTTGAATCACACAATTTTTACTAAAAATAATATTTTTTCGACATAGTAAAAAAAAAATCAAAAATTAATTCTTTTCGCGATAATAAAAATAATCTTTTTTTAAAAATAATTTTACGCGAAAATAAACAAAATAAATTATCTAGTTTTTCTCTTTTTCATATAAAAATAAAATACATCCTTGACATCATTGCAAATAACAACCAATTAACCCCAAAAAACATAAAAAGAATAAACAAAATAATATTACAATATTACAAGTACAACATATATATACACACACTGACGGAATCACGCGTTCGCATCTTATATACTATATAAATATACCTTTCTCCTTAACGCGAGACCACCTATTTTGCCTTAAAAAAACACGGTCCTAGCTGGATTCGAACCTAGTACTATCGAATTGAGATACAAGCACTCAACCGACTAGATTCTAAAAAAATCGCATCCATTACTCTTTACAAATAGTATATTTTAAACAAAACAAGAAAAAAATATATGAATAAAATTGTACAATCTTATATCTATTTTCAAATTCAGGTGCGTAGCCAGCGGAGGGAGGGGGTGGGTAAGGGGGTAACTCCTATCTCCATATTTAAAAGTGCAGATAATTAAAATATTTAAGAACATTCACTAGCATAAAAGTGATCACTGATTTTATGAAGTTAGAGCAGCTGATTATTAGTTTTATTAGTGGTGAAATTACAGAATGGCTTGAAGAAGACGGTCTACTAGACTCGATAGAGGTTTCTTTGCATAAATAAGGCTTTCCCCCCGCGCTAAGCATCCCAAATTCAGGATACCAGGGTTCGTATAATTTATAATATCGTCTTTATAATGTTTTAATAATCTTGATAATGCTTCGTAAAGGTCTACAAAGCCCTCCTCCTCAGTCCGCCTCTGCCCATTAAGAATTTTTGCGCAAATTGTTCGACTCAGGCCCAAAATATTTTGTCAGGCTCGGCCCTTTAATTTTTTTTTAGAACGTCTTTATTGACTCCTTTAAAAATAAATCTCATCAATTTATTATATTTTGAACCTTCGAAATCAAGTTCATAACGAATTATTTAATATCCAGATAAATTGGACCCATTACCTGAACGAGTTATTCAGCTTAGTCAACGTGACCATAAGTGAAGATCAGGTGATAATCGTGAGATCGTTGGATTACATGGCCAACATAACTAAGTTGGTCAAGGAATACAAATCCACCATCGATAAAAAGACGTACGTTATTTTTGTACCCTCAATTAATTTTTATGTGCCTAGTAGAAATTTATAGCTTTTTTTTAAAAAAAAGTGTCACCTCGTCTTTAATAAAGGATGCTGTTGACTAAGAAAAGCTAAATATCGAATATGATTATCTTTCATTTTAGAATAGGAATAGAATTATGAGCGTGTCCTGGTTCGACTTCTTACTAAACAGCCAGCTGTTTAGCCGGCTATGAAACAAAAGAAAATTTTTTTTAAGGAGAGGAATTTTGAATATTGGACCTCTCAGATGTCTATTTTCAAATTAAAATGGAGGAAGAGTCGCAAAAATAGCTTGTAATCAATACGTTTAGAGGATTATATAAATATACGAGACTACCTTTTGGTATATCGTCTTCTCCAGCAATATTTAAACAGAGCCATCGAGAATTTATGAAAAATTTTTGAAGGAGTAGTTTGTTATTTAGATGATAAAGGTATTAGAATGTTTAGAATATGGTATAAGTAAGAAAAATGTAAATTTTTTCAACAAAATGTCGAGTACTTAGGACATAATATATCAAAAAGCGGGATTACAACTACAGAAAAAAATACTGAAGCAGTAAAAAAAAAGGGCTAGAATCAACGAACTTAAAACAATTACAGACTTTTCTAGAGTCAGCTACATACTATTCAAAATCCATTTAAAATTTTGCAGACAAAGCCGATCCATTATACTATTAGAAAATAAGTAGCTTGGAGATGGGAAAATGAACGCAAAGACGCGGATGAAAAAATAAAGCAAGAAATGAGTAGTACTCCAATATTACAACATTATTATCCGAAATTACCCATTATACTAGCAACATATGCTTCAGCCATAGGAATTGGGGCAGTAATATCGCATATAGAAGGGGGAAAGGAGAGACCAATTGAATTCGCCTCAAGAATGCTAAATGCAGCCGAGAAAAATTATAGCCAAATAGAAAAAAAGTTCACATTACAAACAGACCACAAGCCATTAATGAGTTTATTTCTATTTCATCCAAGAGAAGATTTACTAATATTCACTGCTAGAATACAAAGATGGGCTTTATTATTAGCATGTTACCAATATGAAATAGAATTCAAAAGTAGTCGACAAATAACCAATGCTGACATGCTATCACGATTACCTATACAGGTAACCACAATATCAGAAGAAGAAACACTGTATCAAATTCATGTGGGTGAACAACAAACACCTTTGAATGCAAACGAATTCGAAAGAAAAACAATGCAAGATGATGTACTCTCTAAAGTATACAGGTATGCAATATACAGATGACCAATAAACAATGATACATGCTAAAGGAATATAGCTAAAGAGAAAATCACAACAGATAGAGGTTGTTTACTTGTGGAGAACTAATGATAATACCAGAACAAAACCGAAACAACGTGTTAAACATAATACATCAAGGACATATTGGAATGGCAAAAATGAAGATGAGAGCAAGACAATACGTGTGATAGCCTAATATAAGCCATGATATAGTAACATGGGTCGAAAAATGTAGAGAATGCCAGGAACAATACGATAAGCCTCATAAGACATAAATTTAAAATTGGCCAAAAACTCATGTCCAATATTTATATTTTTTATATCTTCCCTAAATATTTTGAAATTTATAGTATATATAATAAAAAGATCGAAATTTTTCAATATTTTGATTTATTTACAACCCATTCTCCCGTTTCAGAATCCTCAACAACTACTTCATGTGGCACATCACGAGCCGCATGATAGCTTACCTGTCCCAAGAATTTAAAGCTACCCTCAGGCCATTAAGCAAGGCGCTCAAAGGATCTTTCGATTCCGTCGTGGCTTGGAAAACTTGCATATCCGATACTAACACTATCATAGGCTTCCCGCTCGGTTCGTTGTTCGTCAAGGAAACATTTAAAGGACGGAACAAAATAATGGTAATGTTTTATTAGTTATGTAATTTAAATTTTAAAAAAACGGATTTTTTAACTCTCATTTGTATTATTGTATAAAAAATTAAAAATCGGGAATAAAAAAAACAACGTTAATAACAAAACAGGAAAAAAAAACAAGCTTAATTTTAACGGAAATTTTAAAACATTTTTTATAAAAATTTTGTAAAAAAAATTAAATCTCTTTCTTTCTTTCTTTCTTTCTTTCTTACCAATCATTGAGCTAAAATCAGGGATCCAAACCGAAATGAATATCGGTTCGGTTTGGGTTCAGGTTCGGATAAAAATAAAGTTTCAGGTTCGGTTCGAACCTCTAAAAACCGGTTTGAACACTTTTGTATTAAAACCTACATTCGAAATATGTATAGCGAAAATATTTTTTATTTTATCATCAATTTAAAAAACACATGTATAAAACCTTCATTTTTATTAATTGCACATTATAAAATAATATTTAATCTAATTTATAAATATAAAAATAAATATCAATGATTAATTTTAATATGAACAATATTTTACTTTTTTTACTTAAATTTTTTTTATTAAGCCGCACTAATATATTTTCAAAATTCGTCTCACTCAAATTACATCTATAAGGAGAGGAGATAGTATAAATTTAATTGTTGAAAAACATCTTTCCACACTAACTTGGGTAGCCGGCACTGGCAATATGATATCAGATTTGATGTGTCATTTATAATAATATTTTGGATTTAATTTTTCTCTAAGCATTATAATGTATAAGCTAAAAATGTTGTAAAATGACAATATACTAAAATTTATAAAAATTATGTCTGACACTTTTCAATCAAATGTAATCTTTAAAACAATTCGAATATAATTGAATTTTTTTAAATATACTAATAATAACTTACATATTATTTTATAAGCATAAAATCATGAGGTTCGAACCGGTTCAGAGGCATTTTAGCGGTTCGGTTCATGTTCAGCTAGAATTTTTTTAGCAGTTTAGGTTCGGTTCAGGTTCGATAAAAAATACCGGTTTTTAGCGGTTTAACGGTTCAGGTTGGGTTTGGATCCCTGGCTAAAACGCTAACTTCCTTTAGAACTCACGCCTTAGTCTTCTTCGGGGATTTAGGGCATCGCATCATACATGACATAGGCGAAGATTTTTTTTACCTTTGACAAAGAATCGCAAATAATATATTAGAGCTAACCAGATCTGCTTTATATTCTCTGCTGATGGATGATTAAATTTATTATTAGATAGATTCCGCTAACCAATCTTAGGCCCTGCAACTTCCTAAAGCCATTATCCCATTATTTCATTCTTATCGGCTTGATCGATTCGGAAAACGGAGCTTGCAAAATGATATCCCATATCCTTCATCCCTTTGGCAAACTGAATATTTCACGACAAAATTCATAATTAATTTTTACGAAATATTCATTCATTTTGGTATTTATGTATAAATGGATGCAGATGCAGCTAAAAATATATCTAGATATAGATACTTTCTATCAGTGGCGTATCCAGGATTTTCTTATAGGGGGGGAATTTTTTGGGGCTTCGCCCCCAAACCCTTTTACCTGGCCTTCGGCAGCTTTCCTCCGGCCTTTGGCCGGGTCTTATTTAGCTATTCTATAAAATTATTCATAATTTAATAATAATTATATTTCTATTTTTAACTATTATTTACTAATTCGTGCTTATGGATAGGATATTACAAGCCTCTTTTTTATTATTTCAAGTTAGGTATATTATATTTAATAAAGTTTTTTTAAATGTAAAGTTGAAATAAAGTGTAATGTCATTTTTTTTATAAAATTTGCTTTAAAAACTAGCCTCAGCTTAAATTCTCATACAATATAAGTAGAATATAATTTTTTTATTGAAAATACTAATAGTAGTGTGTTTAAAATATTGACTAGAAAATAATTAAATTAACAAGTTTTTTTAACTTCTTATCTAATACAAGATTTTTAATTATTTCGTTTGTCGTTGGAACCAAATCTCCGTGTATATTTAACAGAGCTAACCCATTTAGCCGAGATTCAGTACTTCGTAAATATGTTTTCAACCTTCTTAAGTTGGAAATTTCATTCGTACATGTTGTAATAGGCAAACATGCAAGAATATAAAACTACTTCGATATATTAGGAAATTGAGCCAAGGTTTCTTTACACCGATTGAGCGCATCAATAGCATGCTCAGGTAAAATAGCTAAACGTATAAATATTTATACCACAATTCGAATTCACTGATTAAATTTATTTCAGTATCAATCTCATAGGAATAAAATATTTCTAAATATTTAATTTTACCAATAGTGCCATTAGAAAATGAAGAAGGATCTTTGGGTAATAAAACTTGAAGATTTTCAAAGACTTGTTTTTTTATCTAAAACCCGTACTTTTATTTGCGATAAAAAAGTATCTAAGAATGGGATGAAAATGGATATTTTATAATATTCTTCAGTTGAGCCAATATTTATTTTCATCTCAATAATGGCCTAGGTGCTAGACGAGGTTTAATTAGTGTTATATCATAAAATTTAGCCTTCGATTCAACGTCTAGATAAATATTATGAAAATATTTATCTACATTCATTCTTATTGTATCTACCTGTTCATGTATATTTTCCGCCAAATCAATAACCTGAACCAAATCTAAATTTGGTTTTTGTAAATTTCTACAAAGTAGTGAGCTAAAAATAATTTATTGATGCAACTAGCAGCAATGATAAACTCTGATTGATCAATTGAATTCAATAATGATATCGCTGCTGACGACACATTACTTTTTTCATGCTCAGCCTTATTTATAAATTATCGTTTGATTTCAATCTCTTTGACTAAATATTTTCCCATTTTATTAATATTTTTGAATAATATGTTGAAAAATTGATATTCAAATATTTGTAAAATTTTGATTGGTGGGGGGGGGGGGGGGTAAATTTTTATTATCTTAAAATGATATTTATAAAAATAGTCAAATTTGCGCTGGGGGGAGGGGAATTTCCCCCTTTCCCCCCCATTGGTTACGCTCCTGCTTTCTATAAAAATTTGTCTATTATAAAATACAACATTTTTTGTCTAGATATTGTAACGCTAATACTTAATTTTTAAATGGAGATCTATGTTGGATGAATTTTTTTTGATCAATTCCACTGCTCATTTGAATATTATAAAATTTCACTTTTATTTTACTTAAAAAGTGTTTAATAAATATTTTATCAAGTATTCTTCTAATTTAAATAAGATAAATAAACTAGATTAGCCTCAAAATAATTTTTTTTTAAGGAGGATGGCTATAAACACCTTCCTTTGCCCCTCTTTTGTTATAACATAATTTACAAATTTAAAAAATAATAATAATAACCCCCATTTTATTATAAAATAAATTATTTTAGGCCGAAGCCATGATAAACAAGATAAAGCAAGCTTTTAAAAATCAATTGCCAACTTTGGATTGGATGGATGAAGAAACTATAAAAGTCGCCTCCGCCAAAGTTTAAAAATTATTTATTTTAACAGAATAACCGAAAAAAAAAATCGTTATTTTACACAAAGAAAGAAAGAAAGAAAGATAAAACAAAAATAGTTTTATATGTCATGTAAAATGTCAATTGAAGTATATACCAGAGACCTGCAGAGGTACCATCATTTACACGGCCTGGCCCGGATTTTTTTTTTCAAAATTTCTTTTCGACCCGGCCCTTTTATATTTTTAGGCCCGGCTTGGATTTTTAAAAAATATATTATATTTATTTTTAATTTTTATAGCTAATAATAGCGATTTCAAATATTTGGTTTTAAAATATACGGCCTGGCCCGGATATTTTTTAAAAAAATTTCGGGCCCGGCCCGTGTATCCGGACCTGGCTTAGGGCCGGACTGGCAGGTTTCTGCTATATACCTACAATAATACCAAACGAGTGTTTACATCATTTATATTCAAATCTATTACGCAAATAATTTCGAATAATTCGATCAAATACTCTCGTTTAAAAATTAATTATTCGAAGGATAATATATTTTCCTTACTCACGTATCGTTATTTCTATTCGTAAAATATACGAATAAATAATTCGTTTTAGGTGTAAAATCAAACATTTAAACCACGACCACCCCCACATAAATTTTATCGAAGAAAAATATTAAGAATAGTAAAACTTCGCTTATTTTCCGCGCAAAGTAGATTTTTTTTTATCTCAAAATAATTTTAAAACCTATTCTTTTTTTGCCGAAATTTAAAGGCAGACGCTATCAGAAATAAGATAGGGTTCCCGGATTATCTGCTTAGTCCTAAAGAATTGGACAAGAAATTCGAAGGGGTATGTAAATACATTTTATATAAATATATATTTAATTAAAATGTTTAAAAAAACTTAATGAAATCTAGTTATTTGGCCCCCTTATTTTATAAATAACTCGATATTTGAGCCGACAAAATAACTAGATGCCGTTCGGTTTCCTCTAAACGCTATCCAAATGTAGTCGACCAATTATTTTCGAAAATAAAAAAATAATTTTGGATGTTAACCTTAACTGGCAGCTGGCAGTAAGTGTGGTCGAAAAAAAATTATATCGATTGGTCGAAAATTCATGATGATAACTGATCATTTTTCTTTAATTTTGGATGTTAAAAATATATTATCTTTGAATTTAGCTATCTTTCAAATCGGACGCCTACTTCGAAAACAATCTGAGACAGATCGAATTTTTCTTGAAGAAAAGCTTGGGTAAGATAAGACAACCCGTCGATAAGGCCAGGTGAATTTTTCTAATCTAATGCATTCCTAAATAACGAATAATAATTGTAATATTATAATTATATATTAGAGGAATATCGGTTTAATCTTGAAGAGGATATATATCTCTTGAATTCTTCATTACGAGATAATTCCCATTTGAGATTTTTTTTTTAAAAAAAAATCAATAATAATACCTAGACCGATGATGCATTCATTAAAAATGCACATAGATGAAAACAGCTGGGGACGCCATTTTACCCATATCATTATTTAAAATTTTAAACGAGAGGCCAATTTATTCCTTATGTCTGACGCGAACATCGAGATAATTAGGAAGCAAGTTTGAACATGAGAATAATTACTATATGGGTTACCAAAATGGCTCTTCTAGCTGATTTGCCGACGCTTTCAAATGCATTATTAAGAACGCATCATCAGTCTAGGTGGTATATGTTATTGTAGCTATCATAGTATTTTTTTTTAAAAATTTATAAGCAGAGCTGGAACAGCCCTGGTAATTTTTGCAAGGCAAAATTTATGATCATTTTTAATTTTTTACTAAACTTAACCCCAAACTGAACCAACCTGAATCAAACCTCTAAAAAAGGTCTGTAACCCGAGTTGAACCTTTTACCATTCTAACTCTTTTTTTTTGATAACGATTATCTACTATTCAGTTTTGATTGACAAGTATCTATTATAACTATTTTTAAAATATTTTTCTACGTATCGCAAAATTTGACATTCACGGTGTCAGCCACCCAAATTAGCGTATAGAAAGAAATTTTCTCAACTATTCGAATTTATTATTTCTCCCTTATAGATGTATAATCTGACAGAAGAGAATCATTGAAAATATGTTTTATCGTAAACTATTTTTACATTATATTATAAGCAGTTTTTTTGTCAAGAGGGTCGATCCGGTTTTTAAGGGTTTAGGCCGCATTCATAGTGGATCCGATCCGACACGATTTAACAGCTGATCGATTTTTAAAATCGGTTTATGAGAATCAGTATTTTCTTTATTAAAACCAATATTTCTTAGGTTATTATCATGTATAGAATTAAAAACAAAATTAATATTATTACAAAAAAATTGATCTCATAAACAGATTTTAAAAATTGATCAGCTGTTAAAACGTGTCGGATCGGATCCACTATGAATGCGGCCTTAACCGGAACAAGCATTTTTTTTACTAACCTAACCTGAACTGATCTCCTTTACGGTTCGGATCCCAGTAGGAACATACATTCGCATTTCAATCTTTTGTATTTATATTTTATTTTATTTTTTTAAAAAAAAAGATGGTCTCTCACTCCTCCAATGGTCAACGCCTACTATTTAGCTACCGGAAATGAAATGGGTAAAATAAAGTGTATAACATAATTATAACCTCAACAAAAACAACTCACTTATATTTAGAATGATTATTTATTATTAGTGCTATAGATATTTTTTTTAAAAAATCGAACGCGTTCAACGTTCATCGACAAAAATCGAACGCGTTCACGTTAAACGTCCACCTTTAAGAAAAGGAACGCATTCACGTTCTTTCGTTATTTTAATAATAAAAATTTTTTAAAAAAATTTCCTTTAATTTAATATTAAATATTTTTTAAACACATTATATTAGCCGTGTTTAAAATTAATAAAATATCTTTATTTGTTAAAAATAAAATTCTTATTAATCTTTTATATATCATTATAAAATATATAAATTTATAATATTTTAAATTATGTTCAACTATTAAAATATAAAACCCTTGATGAAAACAAATTTCAAATATTCACACTAAAAATAAATAAATTTTAAAAGATATTAATTATTTTATTTCTATATATATATAATATATATTATTTAGTGATTTTTCTTTATATATCTATTCTAATAATTTAATAAGCCTATGAAATACATCAATCTAAGATAAATTATTATACGGGCTACTTATAGTTATATTATAAAATAATATATATTAAAATCAAGTTTAATTAATTTAGAACTGGAAGATTTTGAAACTGATATTTACATTTGGTAAAGATAGAATAAGATAATTAAATATATGATGATGTCGTAATTTATTATATTTGGGCCATGGTAATGTTAATTCAGAAGCAAAAGACGAATTAACAACATTCACACTTTCGCTATTCTTTAAATAATAATATTCAAGTCAATAACGCAGAAACGCGGGTTAAATAAATTCAAAAGTGACAAAGGAAACAGCTGATTAAAAAATAACCCTTTTTTTTAATTAAAAAATTTGGATTAATATTAAATTAAAATTGAACGAACGTTAAAATCGAAAGCGTTCGTCAAAAAAAAAGGTAAGCGTTCACGTTCAAAGTTCGTCAAAAATAAAAAAACGAACTTCGTTCACGAACGCGTTCAATTTGAAACATTAGTTTAGAAATCATTTCTTGATTACCATTTTATTTTGCTGGGCAAGAAAATATTTTTGAGATATAAGCTTCCTAAAATTTTTAGGGTGAATTAAATGGTATATGAAAGAAAGAAAAATTGATGCATTTTTAAACAACTTAAACTTATAAATATAAATTAATATATATATATTTTTTTAAAAAGTGTTTCCAGCGGGGATATTGCAATCCCCATTCTACGACAGCACTTTTCCAAAGTACAATGATTAAATAATTTAACCACAACCTACAATATTTTATATATTTTTTAACGTTATAGAATCAATGCTAAAATTGAACAAATTATTATACGAATAAAACGAAATTAAATTTATATTTGTAGAGCTCTGAATTTTGGTGCTATGGGCTTCGTCGTAGGACATGAATTAACCCACGGCTTCGATGATTTAGGTTTTAAACAAAATTTTCCGATATTAATTATAAATATTTTATGAAAAATCTTATAAAGAGCGCCCTTTGCTAATTACAAATATTAGAGAACCTCAGATGTACCATTTGCACTGCCATTTTTTTTAAAAATTTTTTTGGCCCAGCCCGTGTTTTAAGGCCCGGCCCGGATTTTAAAATATATGGCCCGGTCCTGGTATTTAAAAAACGGGGCCCTGCTTGCAGGCCTCCGATAAATATACAGATTAGTTTTAAATGTATTTTGATTATATTTAAATTAAATACAACTAGTGCGATAAAAAAATTTTAACGAGCAAATCCTCAAAATATTCAAATTTTTGCGAACGAAATTATGCAATTCTCGATTTTTTGGCTCGTTATCTTTTAACATATGCGTTCAAACGCATTGGTATTTCCCTTAACCTAAAAGGGCTAGTATTTAAATTATGTATCCATTTATAGTCAAAACAGAATTTTTATTTAAGCTATTAATATGTTAAGCACGCTGACTAAATAAGAATTAATGTTATTGTTAGTATGTTAAATTTTAGCTTTTCTTTATTAAAATTTACAAACATAAAATCGAAATTATCATATGGATGTTGTTTTTAAAATATTTACATTTCAAGCGATAGGTACAAAAAATAAATGATGGAATTTAACGTAAGAGATTAAAGTATATAATTTAATTTTGGTAAGAAAAATCCGTGCTAAAATGTGGAATATAAGTTATAAGTTAATAAGAGTGATTTGAATATTCAAAATTCCTTTTCCTTAAGAGGAAGATGTTGAATTCATCATGTTGTTATTGAATTGGTTCTTCCGATGGACCTTGATTTGACTTTATCGCTTTAGGTCCTTTTAGTTGTAACACGATATCGTCGCCATTTTACGTCTCTGTCTTTTTGTTAGAAATCGTTATCATAGGTTATGGGTTTGGATCATGTTTGTGTCTCTTAGTTATGTTTTCATTATTTCACTGTTATTTTATTATCATCATATTTATAGATGTCATATAGTAACGTTGGAATATCGCCAAATATCAGAATCAAGACAAAAATAAGAATGATATAATATCCCAGATTTTACGCTATTGGATAATTAATTTTGTGCACGCGCGATTTTCGCGTTTTTTTTACGTCAGATTTATAAATGAAAATATTTATAAAAAAAAATTATCACATTTTAAAAATTATTTTAACAAAGGTCGACAATTCGATAAAAATGGTAATATGAAACCCTGGTGGAACAATGCTTCTATCGAGAAATTTAATCTAAGAGCTGAATGCTTGGAGAAGCAATACTCGGAATACAAATTGGAACAATTAAATGTAAATTTTGTTACCTTCATTTATTATTGTACCGGGTAAAATCACCCAACCAAAAATTTTAATTGATTTGCATTTTAAATATGAATCCTTTATTATACCCTTTTATGAGCATTACGATTTCCTTGTCAAAAAAAAATATTAGAAATATATTAGCAGAAATTAATAGAAAGAGGAACTAAATAAAAAATTAATCTTAAATTTATCAGGACAAATCATAATATTTTTAGGGGGGCTTGAAAAAGTTGGCACAAAAATAATTTTAACGCCCGTTTTTTTCTAAAAAACTATTAAAAATAAGATATTAAGTAAGGTTAATTTCATTTTCCCTTAAAATAATTAAATTTATATGTTTATTTTAAGTTGCGCTTTTAGTCTTGAAGGAGGGGGGTCCGATTTATAAAAATATTTGAGTTTTATGTGTAAACGATTATTTTAAATCATAAATTATTTATTATGAAAAAACGATTTCAATTTTAAAAAAAAGATTAACGGAAAACAGACTATCGGTGAAAATATAGCGGATAATGGAGGATTAAAAGCTACATTCGCCGTAATTATATATATATATATTTTTACTATTTTTAATTAGGGTTATCATCATATCCCTTTGTACCTCCCCCTAATCCAAGCCAATGACAAATATATAAAATGGATACAGAACTATGAGAGTATCCCCCCCCCCTCCCTACCTGAAATTTATGAAATTGCATTGTAACCCCACATGTTAGAGGGCCTTGGTTAATTAATAATAAATCGTTATTTCATATGTTTACATTACGTTGCAAAATTAAAGGCATTTAGATCATATATGGCATCGAATCCAGAATACAATCCTACACTACCCGGTTTAAATATGACTGACAACCAGTTGTTCTTCCTAGCTTTTGCTCAAGTTAAATTTATATTTTAAAAAAAATTGTTGGAGTTTTTCGCATTTTAAAGTCGATTTTCAGAATTCAAGTAAAATTTAAACCATAAAAAAATATATATAGGCTCAACTTTTCAATAAACAAAAAAAAAGACCGATTACGACTCTATCGGATTTCATGATTGATTTTTCTCTTCTCAATTAAGGGAATTGTATTTTGATAAATTATCTATTTTTTGACAGGTTTGGTGTTCGATAGACACAAAAAAATCTTTGTATTTCGAAATTCAAAACGATTCCCATAGTCCTAATAAAATACGGTAATTTGATTTTTTTTATTGTAAAATATGGGACTGGTGATTAGTGGCAAAACTTTGCCGATCTCCAGAAAAGCTCAAGAGCTCATGTCGCGACGTAATAGGGGTGCTTAATTATATTTAAGAAATAAATGGAAGAAGAAAAAAAAGTTTTTAAATTTTAGTTAAAATTTTATTTAAGAATAAGAAAAATTATTAAAATGGCAAAAAAAACCTAATAATGCCCCCCCCCCTTCACTTTGCCTAACCTGGATACGTTTATGGACAGAATGGATAATTTATTATTGTAATAATTTTTCGTTATAAAATTTATATTTAGGGTTATCGGAACTCTCTCAAACTCGGTCGAATTCTCTAAGGCTTATAATTGTCCACTCAAATCTCCCATGAATCCCTCCGAGAAATGCGTGGTATGGTAATAAAACAGGGGATAATGAGATGAATGAAACCCTGCGAAATTTGGCGCACCACACCTAAAGTTGTAAAATAACAGCAAAAGCGTAATTATACAGAATTAAAATAAATAAGCTTGCACCACCCGACGGCTAGAAGAATTTTTTTTTAAATATAATCTGGACCAACTATTATTTAATTTTTAAACTCATTATTCTTAGGAATTTTAAACATTCTTTATAATTCAATGCAATTCCTACACTCCAAACACTTACTAGATTATTATTATTCAACGTTTTATGGATTTCTGCTATAAACCAAAAAAAATTCAAATTTAAATCAAATCGCAATAAGTTTATACCAAAAAAAGCACACTCTTTATATAATATACATTTTTATCCAGGTTAACGGTCTGGTAGTTTACTTAATTTTTTTTAAAGATATTATATATGTATTTAATCAAGAAAGTGCAAACATATTTATTTTTCCGGTAATTTTTAAAATATGTTATATATATATTTTTTTTTAAACGACTTGTTGCAATAAAACCAATACTTATATAATATCATTAGGAAATTAATTTATAAAAAAAATATCTACGCAGTGAAATCTCTTAAAGGCGGAAATATAATGAGAACCGCAAAAGGCCTAAAAAATATTATTCTCTTTTGAAGATACACAAAAAAAAATTATAATAAAATTTGTTTCCTTTTTTAATTAGTTTAAATATATATAATTTTTTTTTGAAATGATTTAAATCGATAAAAATACTAAACTTTAATCATGTGTTATTTAATCCATATATAATTTTTTATTTATCTGCCAGAGGCCCTAAAATTTTTTCGGCCGATATTCTGACTCTTATAGATTTCATTGTACTTATATAGTAATTTACATTTATTTAATATGTGCAATTTATAATTTATTTAATATATATGTTATGTTATTATACGATCTTAAACCTGTATTACTTTTTTTTTTCAATCAGATTTAAAACGAATATTTTACCGCATATTCAATATACATTTTATTAGATGCTGATTTACAAATTTGTAAACCATGTTTTTTTATAACGCTATTTAATAATATACAAAATATATAAATATCATACCGGGAAAGAATTATTTATTGAATAGATTCAACAAAATAAAATAACATGCAAGTATTTTTTTAAAGGAATATTTTCAAATTTTTACCAAATTTAAAATAATCCTAACAGAATGTGTTTTTTTTAAATTTTTTTTGCCCCTATCCATTCTTATTTGTCATTTCTGTCATATTCAAAACTGATCTATTCTATTAGCAAATCTCGTTCACTAAATTTAGGTATCGATTCGAGAGGCAAGTCTCATTCAAAAATACCCTAATTGCCCTCTCCATCATCTCAATCCTTATTTTTTCATGCGCCCTGTAACATAGTCCCAAAATATTTCCATAATTCAATTATGGGCCCCTTTTTCACTTCTCTCGACTCAGTCGGATTAAAACCTGAGTACTTGTGTCTTCCAAATTAATTTTCACCCAAGCAACCTTCACTTATGGGCATACATAGAACTTCTTACACCTACGTCTCTTCATTCTTATTTAGCGTTATATTATTCATAACTTACATGTCTATTACAATTTTATTTATTATCATAAAACGTCAGTGGAAGTCTTATCACATCTAGATTAGTTAATGCAAATGAAATGTAGCCCCCCTTCCCCTCCTTAAAAGTGTATTAACCTGACTATCTCGAAACCCGCTTCCACCAACTTTACAAAATAACGGTTGATATATAACTCATAACTGAAAAAAATACAATATATAATATGCAATTTTTAAGGGCTAAATTGGCGCTTAATTCATTCGATTATTGAGGTTTTAAATTATTAAATAATTTTATTTATTAGTAAAATTTAGTCTATAAATATATATATTAGCCATCGCAAACTTCTCTATAAATCAATGTTTAAAAAAAAGTATTTCATGGACGTAAGGGCAGTCCTAAGATATCGGCAATTTTCGTAGGCAACGTCTTGCATTCATAAATTTGATACCATATAGCTTCTGCAGATTTTAGCGTTTTTTCCAAATCTATCGTATTCGCTATGTCGTTAATGTGCTTCAAGAATTGAATGTTTAAAAATAATTTCATATATTTAGTCATAAAAAATGACACAAAGCCAAGTTATTATTCAAAAAAAAATCAGAGGTTTAAGTCATTTTTCTATGCTAGAAGCTTGGCTAACTCGTATTGGAGCAAAGTTAGCTAATTTAGCAACACTTGTATTTAAGCATAAATATCCGAATTTTCGTTTTATAACTTATTATCAATTAGGTAGTGTTGTTAAATTACTTAACTTTGATCATCTTCTATTGTGGTTTAGTCAATCCTTTATCCTAAAATATTGAATTAAGCTTCTAAGTTGACTCTCAATTAGAAGATTGATTCGAATATTTTTGGATAAAACCATGGCTACGCTGCTATATAGCTGACTAAAGTTAGGTGGTTTAACAACACTACAATTAGGACTTTCAGGAACTGAGGTAATTTTAAATAAAATATAAATATCAAAGATTTAGAGAACATAGAATTTTATATAAACCTGAAACTTTTAGTTTTCACACATAAATATTGTAAAGGGTCTCAAAAATAATATTTAAGACTAAGTCTATTAGTATTATCGATCATTTCAAAACACAAAAACCCACTTAAAAATTAACAAAAAAAAAGAAAAACGTTAAGCATTTAATATAATGTCCTCCTTGTATTTAGAAATATATATTTGATATGCATTTCTATTTTTCGTTAGTACTTTTAATATTTCTGTCAATCCGAACCTATTTTCCATTATCGTGTGTTTTTCTTCTTCCAATAAAGCTAGGCAAAAGAGCAAATGAAAATTTTTCCCGGGTAGATCAGTCCAAAATATCTGTTTTTTAAAAAAAAAAAATGTTTATTACATATAATTTTTTTTTTCCTTTGGCGAATATATCAGAAATAGCTTTAAAAAATTGATACTATTTATTTACGCACCTCTAGAAACTATAAGTGATTAACAGATTCTAAAAGGAAGGGAATAAAAATCATCGAGTAACATATAGAAAGATAATAAGGTTAAGAAATTGTTTCTAATGATATTTGTTTTAGCATTGATTCATTGTGGGTTAAAGGTATCACAAATTATTTTTGTATTTATATTTATTAATATTTAATATCTTCATGAAAATTTTTTTTATATTTTACTTCCCAAAGTCTCATCACGTCATTGAATGAGAATTCCCTTTTGAATAAAATAAGCAGCCACCGGAAGCAAAAGTACAAATTTCCGGATTCGTGTTTGTCTTTTATTATATTATTTAAAAAAAATTAAACTATTAATTTGTAGATTAAGCAATTACACACGTAATACCCAGGATTACCGATTTTATTTCATTAAAATTCATTTTGTTTCCTTAAATGCAAATCAGCTGGCGATACGCTATTTTGGTTTTTTCATATATACAAAATAAATGAAACTGTAAATTTTTTTATTTTAATATAAATTCTTTATTCGATAAATTAAAATGGCGCGTCACCGGATGATTTGTATTGATACACATTTAAATGAATGTAACGTAAGTCTAAGTAGTACTATATAGCACTGAGATAGTCAATGAATGGCAATATGATATGAAGGGAAAAAAATAAATGCAATGTACATATAAGGAAGTAAAATAAAATATTGATTAAAAAAAAGAAAATCTTAGAGAATGGCATTTTTTTTAATAAAATTCCGAATTGGGACATCAGTGGGTTAGCTGCAAAACCACTCCTACATTTAATCTATTTTCCCCCATCTCTTACCTAATTTATCTCCTAGATATGAAGGGCGAATAACCTTCACAATTTTAAAGGTTACGAGAAATGCTGAGTTAGGAAAATCTTGAGGTTTTGCCAGTAATTTTAAAGGCCTTAGACGATATTAAAATCTTCACAATAAGCTGAGGAGTACGCTTAAATTTGGGGGAAAAGAGTAGTGTGACTATATGGACCCGAAATTTTTTAAAATAAATTTATCCCTTAAATCATTACAATTTTGTCAAAAATATATCTTCTGACTAATTTATTATACTGATAAAAGATAACAAGAATGTTAAATTAAAAGAAATGTTTTTTAGAGTGAGGTGTGCTATTTCTTTAGGGTATAACACTTAGTATAAGTTTGTAGGTCACTACAACATCAAGCTACAATGTAACTTGATAAAATTTTTGAATTTAGTTTAATATTATTTCATCAATGGAGTAAGAACCGAACTATAACTTCTTTTTTCTTTTATTTTAATTCATAAAATTGACTGCAAAGTTCTATGTCTATTTTTCTAATATCACACTTTTTTACTTTAAAAAAAGTATATATTCTTAATAAATAAAAGTTTTCAAAAAAAAGGCAAGGTATTTTTTTTCCAAATTTGATTTTAGTGAACTGAAATCAGAACACAATATTAATCAAACAACTCAAAATATTTAAGTATATAATTACCTAAATAAATCGCGAAATGTGGGTCCAGGAAAGCTAAAAGGTTGTAAAGTTGAATCAATTGTATTTTCATGGATTCCTGGTCGAGATGGAAATTATTTTGCTAAATTATTGTAAAAAAAAATTAACGTAAATTTATATTACAGTTTACGGTAAAATAAAGCCTCTAAACTAGTCTCGTTACGAGGTTCGATTTAATCCGATTTTTAAAAACTGCTAACTTAATATTTTATTCAGAAAAAAATAATACGCAAGCCTGAAGATTTTGGTCATGAATGGCTCAAAGGTTTGGACATCTATTAGGGTAACAAGGTTTAGTTAATTTCCGTTTCTAAAATCTAGCTGTTTAACAACACTACCCTATACATTAGTAAAAGTAGGTTTATTGAAATGAACTTTTAGGGGTAATTTCCTAATTTTTGAGGATCTACTTTAGGCAAAGCCCTTCCATTTTCTTTAGTTACTTATTTATAAATTAGTTTAAATCCTAACATCAAATCATACTAACTTTTGAAAATTCCAAGGCAGTGTTTTTATCCAAGTTTTTAGTCAAAAATAAATAGATTTACAATTTTATGATGGGCCTGAATGTTAGAGATTGAGAGTTGAAACGAATTTTGTTTAAGAAAAATAAAACTTGCCCCAAGCCATTATGGATGTGAACAATACTAAATGATTTAGGAGAGGGTTAGAATGTCAATCATAATAAAATCAATTCGGAAATAGAGAATGATTGCGGGAAACTTTAAGGAACAAATGAAGCCCCTCCTCCCCCCCGTCATTTTACTAAACGAATCCTGCCAATAAAAAAGTAAATACAGGAGCCTACTAAATTAACTTACCAATCGTTCCATGTAATAAACGAAACACCAAAAGGCATCGACTTCATCATCCATAACCACGAGTATTGGAGTCAATAAATCGCTCATACCCTGAACGTAACCTAAAAATTTTGTGGAAAAAAAAAATGATTATAGGGTTGACATTGACAAAAAAAAAATTGTCAAAAATGTATTCCATTCCCCAACTTCGCCACCAACTAAATAAAAATGATAGCGACTCGTTGCTTCCGTCACTGTAATAGTGCGCACAAATTGAGCGTTTCAAAAGCTGCGTTGAAAGCGCAGATATTGCATTTCAAATGGCCTCGTGCAAATTGGTAAATTACCGTTTGGCGTTAGCAAACATTTTAAAAAAAACGCAAGCAGGTTCGCTTTTTCAATACTTTTTTTTTTTACTCTTCCCTTCGTAATATTATATAAAAATGTAATATAAATAACTTTACTTATTAATCCTAAAAAAAGGAATATTTAGAAATTAAAGAAACGAGAAGGCAAACGCGATAATATAATTTTCAAAGAACAAGTCCTTTTTTTTTTTTAGAATTTATTTAAAATTTTGAATCGACGGATATTAATAAAAAGACAACCTCAATTTAAACGAGGGACGCGTTAAGAATTTTTTTTATTTAAAAATTACGGCAAAACGTAATCGCTCAATTTGTGCGCGTGCGCACTATAAGATATCACCAAACAAGAGTTATAAAAAATCGTTATAGAAAAAGTATTTGTAATTTTTTTTTGTTTAAGGTTATTAAAAGTTATAACTTTTATTTTTTAAAATAGCTGATGGTGATAGCTTTTTCTGGGGCCGCTAATAATCCTATATATAAAATATGATTTATATGTTAGTGGCAATCAGTGGCGTAGCTACGGGGGTGGTTTTCGGGTTTGGACCCCTTCCAGATCAAATTTTTTTTTTAGATTATACGTTCAAAAGACTCATAAAAGTGACTTTATATCAAATCAATACCATTAATATTTATAGGTTTCTGATTTTGATGTTTGTGGAAGGATATTATATTATTACTAGTGAAATAATTCTGAATAGTATTATTATAAAGTCATTGAGAATAATCTGCTAAATTTAAATAACATATTATTGATGCATTTAAAAAAATATTTTAATTATTATTATATTATCAAAGATATGGTTATGATTTGTAAGATAAACCCGGCCGAAGGCCGGGCAAAAGGGCCGAAGCCAAGTTAAAGGGGTTTGGGGGAGAAGCCCCCCAGGCTTTTATATGTATGGACCCCCTCTAAGGATAATTCCTAGCTACGCCACTGGTGGCAATGCATTATTTTTTCAATTTTAAATCATTTTTTGAGCGCGTTTTTTTTTAAATATAAAAATCTGATTTTACCGGAAATGAATTCCATCATGTTCGAAATACCTACCCTATGAATTTCAGAAAATTTTGAACTTAATATAATTTATATTAGTTTTTCTATAGATTTTTTTATATAAATTATATATGACTTCAAAGGTTAACGGCAAAATTGTCTACAATTTATAAGATAGGTATTCTAAACATGCTGGATTACATTTCCGGTAAAATTAGAATTTTAAATTAAAAAAAATGCGCTCAAAATGATTTAAAGTTGAAAAAAATACATTGCCCGCTAACATACTAATAAAATATTTGTGCTTATTCCCCTACCCCAACTATCGTTTTTCTTAAAAACAAATATGATCTTGTAATGTTTAATGGGAAACCTATGTCGAAGTTATACATTGTGTAAGTCATTAGGATATCGTATTGCATAGTTAGATGAGGATTTCTATTCCCGTAAAAATATGGATGAGTTCTATCCGTTCGATGGACATCTTTTTCTAAATTGAGATTTTATAAAGATTATATGCTTATAATAAGAATATTGAATAGGTATCGGTACATCAGGCATATGGTCAGATGCGTAACTTTGAGAATTTACAATAATTTATTCACTTGGCAAGTAACGTCGTTATTAAAGGCGTTACCTTTTTCGAGGAAAAGGAAGCCTTTCGTTACTTATTTTAAAGGGTAACGAGCGGCGCGTTTGTTTTTATTGAGCAACGGTAAAGCATACTTTAAATTTGTTTCTCAAAAAATATTTGTTATTTTATCATATACTATGTTTTTTTTAAAAAAAATTTTATAAATAATATATGCCGAATTTTTAGATTAAATTTTATACAGTCATGATTTGTTAATCTAATTAATATTGTATATCAAAATATGATAATTTATATTCTCTAATATTATAATTTATTTTAAAAAGAATACATGTCAATGATCCTTATTTCTTCGGGATGAAGATGTTATATAACTCTGTTCTGGCCCTAGTAAGAAATAAATATTGCCTTATTGATATCAAAATAATTGGAAACCACTGACATATAAACCTTCTTTTCATCACAAGATTGATGGATCAACCTCCCCACCTCACTTGATATTTAAAAAAAATATATTCTAATCTTATGTATATTTTTTTGGCAACGTAAACTTGATTACTCCAACCCATGTCGATCTAATAGAAATTAAAGTTTCAAAAGAATCTTTAAAAACAATTTTTGGCCAAATTTTACGTAAAAATGCCAAAATTTTTTATAAGTAAATCTTTTGTTCATGGCACAAAAAAATCTTTGAGGATGTAAGAAAAATTTTTAATCGGAAAATATATGCAAGTTTATTATATAAAAAATAAAAAAATAGCTATACTTCTAAAAAAAAAATTATAATGGTAAAAAGAAATTTTTTTTTAACTCATATCTTAATTACATTATTCTTCCTTTCTTTCCGTTCGTTCTTTTCAAGAGCTCTATCTTAATAAAATTAGGAGTAAAAAAACAATAAATCAAGTTTAAAAGTAGCCGTAGATTACGGCATTTTATTACCTATCAAACTTTTCCTTTCGCGGATTTTGCTGAAATTTTTTTCCTGTTCCTCGTCTATAGACTTCCATTGCAATTTTATACGATAATAATTGTCTCTGTAAAAAAAAAAAGATTACATCCAAATATATATAAATTACTTATAAGATCTAAGCATTGTAAAAATTTAATAATAATATAAAGGTAAATAAAAATACGCGGTATAAATTAAATGACCAGTATTTTAATACCAATTTTTTTTTACTTGAGCAATATGATTTAGATATTAAACATCATTTTAAAAAAATATATATGTGAACTGCATGATAAATTAAATGACCAATATTTTAATATCAAATAGTAAAAAAAAAATTTGACAATTATTTTAGTTTTATTGAGCAATATGATTTTGATATTAAACATAATAATTAATCATTAAAAATTAAAAAAAAATAATATATATGTGAAAATTATGTGCATCGATAAATTATTCTATTTTCAAATATTGGCTATTTAGAAATCGTAATCGAACAAAATAAATAAGATGCTAAAATATACTAAATATATGGCCTTGAAAATTCTAGGATAACCCATTTATGATCCCAACAAAAGGAATCTGATATTCAAGCAAATTTTTTAATTGGATAAAATATATTCAAAGTTAAACAAGTATGATGTAGAAATTAAAGGTTAAAAAAGATAAAATTAAGGTTAATTAAAGGTTTGAGAGATATGGATAAGGGTTAAGATGTATTAAAAAATGGTTTTTTTTTAAAAAAATAATAAAATTTAATCATTTTCTATTAATAATTATGTCAAAATCTGGCAGGTCATGTGACTAAAAATTATTACATCAAGTTGACCCATAATCCCAATTTAAAGAGGTGGTAACTTATATTGATGGTTCGTTCGTAGGTCCGAAACCCGTCAATAAAAATTATTTAAAAAACTTTTGCGTGTTCCTTGATTTAATTCGAAAAAAAAAATTAAAGGTTATACCAAATATTATACTCGATTCATAATTTAAAAAAAAGATAGAAAAAAATTTATTGATTTTTTTTATTTAAAATTTACGAAAGTATATAAAAAATATATTTATTTTTAATATCTAGTTCGCCAGCCGACCCCTATTTTTTAAATTAAGTTCAACAATATAATTAAAAAAAATGATTCACTTATTATATATTTTTTCTTCTTCTCTCTCTCTCTAAAGGTAAAAAGGTATTACAATTTTTTTTAATATAAATTAAACAAATATTAGAGGGTGAAATTTACAGCCTGAACAAACAAAACGATGCTAGTCAATAAAATATGAAATTCGAGATTAAACCTAAAATTTGGCAGAGATAATATAAGTATTATGGTGCGCACAAATTGAGCGTTTCAAGCGGAAATAATGCATTTCAAAGGGCATCGCGCGAATCGGTAAAATTACCGTTTGGCGTTTAGCAACCATTAAATAAAAAAAAACGTAAACATGTTTGCTTCTTTCCATACTTTTTTTTATCCTTCATTATACAAAATGTCAAATAGCACTTACTCATATCTTAAAATGGAATATTTTAGAAAAATTAGGTAAATAAAAAGGCAGACGATAAATATAATTTATCAAAGACAAATACCTTTTTAAATTTAGTTGAAATTTTGAATCGACGATATTAATAAAAAAGGTATCCTCAATTTAAACGGGAAGCGTTACGTCTTTTTTTTTAAATTAAAATATTACGGCAAAACGCAAACGCTCAATTTGTAAGCACTAATAAATAGGTTTCATTTTTTTATATATATAAAACTTTTTAGTCTTGACTAGTTCTACCCTTTCTTGATTAGTCGAGTCCCAGGGAAAATAATTTAACAGATACTTCCAAACATCCTTGCGTATTTCATCGCAAACGCCCTTTATTTGAAAAAAATAATTAAAAATAAATATGTAAATTCAGGGATTGCGAGACGCCATTTTTTTTAGCCGGTATAGCTCTCAAAATTTTTTTTTTAATATTTCATTGAATTTCTTTTAAAAATTTTTTAAATCGATTTCAAATATTACGTCATCTAGAATTATAATGTTGGGGCTTAAACTCCAAAAAAATGGGCGTTACAAATGACGTAAAGCTATTTTATCGGGGTTTGGTTCTTGGACTCATAAAGGTTCGTTCCGATTACTAAAAAATTTTTAAAAGAGGGTTTCCAGGTACTAATTCCTATATTAAACCAATACCAAGAATTCCTGGTATGGTTCCAAATATCTTAATTCCTATTGGTCGGATTAATAAAAAAAGAATATTAGTTAGGCAATATTCATAGTTCTTGATCAAAAATAAATGTATCATTTTTTATGTTAGAAGAAAGTTCGGTTTATTACCCCTTTAAATATGATTTGTTTGATTCTGTCGGTGTGCAGAGAACAGCCCTGCGAATCAAAATTCTTGAGCCAATCTTGTTTGCCCAATGGGTCACTCCTTTGTATTTCGGGCTTATTAGGCAATACAGTCTTTTTTTTTGAAAAAAGGAAGAAATAAAATCATTTAATAAAATGATAAATTAGGATAAAATTTAAGGGCACAAGTAAATGGGAACCATACGTGGATAGGAATGTAAAACCTTCAATTACATTTTTTTTAAGTTAACTTTATAAATATCTACTCAAGCTAGTATTGTTAAACGGTTCGATTTGAGCCGATTTTTAAAAATGGCCAGCGCAATGTTTTAGCCAGAAAAATATTGCCTAAACCTCGAGATTGGTCTAATACAACCCTTCGTGCCATCTGAGCAAAATCTTCGCACTTGCTTAATATTTTTTTGGATAAAATATTGAGTTTTCAAAAAATCGGCTCAAGTCTAACAATTAGGAATGACCTTTACACTCGGTGTAATGGGCGCGAAAAATAATATTTCGGGGTCATTCATGGATTCATGATTTTAAAGTCTTTGATTTAGAATATTTGGTTATCATATTTTATATAGATATAATGAATGATAGCATAAAATAATTGTTATATGAATATTTAATTATCGTAGATGTTGGTTTTCATGTTAGTAAGGAAGTTTATAATTTTCCCCAAAAAGGATTTTAAAAAAGTTTAAAATAGTTCCTTCTGGATTCCTGTAAATAATCGGTAGAATTCTATGTCGTATTGAGTGTTAGCCGTTTTTAAAAATCGGCTCAAAACGAGCCGTTTAACAATACTAAATTCCACTGTTGAGATATATCGTGAGTACAAAGTCAGAGTGAAGGGGGGGAGGGGGGGAGTTAGTAATTTTATAAACTTACACAATTGACTAATTGAAAATCGCTATCGGTGCTAATTACGTCCATATTTCTATTGTTTAAGGATATTTGGTTGACGAGAAGTGTTATATCTTTACCATTATCATGATTAACATTATTTATACAATTATTTTCGATAAAACCTTCGCTTGGTTGGGGCAAGGTCAATGAATCATATACTAATTGAGCAACTTTAGAGAATCCATTGAAGGTAGTAGTGTAAGGGTCTTTAAAAAATTTCTAATTTTTTTTTTAAATTTTAAATGAACGTTAAAACAATACTATGAATTTATTATCAAATTTAATATATTATGTTATAATAAGTTATATTATTTTTTTTTAAAAAATTTAAAAATATAACCGAAACAAAATCGTCTGCTTTACCACCGAATAAATTTAATTCGTTAAATGATTTTTCTAGAGCTATTGCCCGATGATCCTTCACAATGTACATATCGTTTTCTTTGTAAGATCTTAATATTGATAATTATACTTGTATGGTAATTATTAAAAATATTATATAAAATGTTAAGTATTTAAATTATATATGCTAATAGTATTTTATTTTTAAAAATAATAATATAGTAGTTAAACTCTTCATAACCTTGATTTATATAAATATGACAATATATATTTTAAAATTAAAAAAATTATTAATATAATAAGATATATTTAAAATTAAAAATATTGTATTAAATGAAATGATGAGGCAAGAATTATAAAAGGATTTTGCTTAAAATTGAATTTCTTTCTTTTCTATTTCCAGATTAGGGATTTAAATGGTTTTCCTATAAGTGGTAATTTAAATAAGTTAGGAGAGGGAATGCAAATTGTGCATTTTATTTTATTAATAAATAATATTAATTCTTATTAAAAAATATTTGTAATTTATTTAAAAATAAAATTTGCCTTTAAGTTCCTATTTAAATTCATAACATTACATATTACTACATATCTGAAAATTATCTTAAAGGCAGATCAATTTAAATTGTTGAAAAGTTGGAATAAATTGGATACCAATATTTTTTGCATATGTATAAAGCAATCAAAAAAGTACCTTCTGGCACTCTTTCCTACCATTCGATTATTTTCAACTAGAAAGTCATATGAGAGATTTAGAAGCTTGCCTTTAGAAAAATAAATAATTCCTCCATTATGAAATTTAGGTGATTTAGGGTAGATGTTACAGTAAGACAATATTTCCTAGGATCAGTGATACTATTATTGCTACAATGCTTTCAATAATTTAAAAGCCTTGTAGGAGTTATTCACATAAAATGAATATTGAATTTCCGAGGTGGTCCTTTCTAAGAAGCCTCTCTTTTCTGTTCTCAATTTATGACTAATATCAAGCAGGATATATTTAAACCTGTTCTTTCTATAATGACCAGCTCCCACCAGGCTAAAGATTAAGTTTTTCTTTTTAGAGTCAAACGAGATCCAGTCTGGATAGGAGTACTCATAGGTAGGGAATTTAAACCAAAATTTGCAAGAATATTACTCGTTCGAAAATGTGAAAAGTTCAACTCACATTCGGTTTGCAATATTTCATTTTCCTCGTGTATTTCTCTATAAAATTTAGATCATTCTGGGGATCGATATTTAGTTTTAATCGCTTTAGGTAACTTTTGCTATTTACCCCTTTTCCTCTTATATCAGAATTTTGGATTAATATTTAGGTAACATATAATAGTTTTGATCCGAATCAAACCATCAAATCCAACTTCATGAAGAACATTTATGATTGATCCATCCTATCGTAATCTTCGAACAAATGAAATAATCGACTTGTGACAGTAGTGTTAATAGGCACTAAAATTGGTAAAGATTTCTATGGAGTCAGTTTGTTCGAAAAAATGTTCCCGATGCGTAAATCAAGGTAGTCCCTTCCCCATTTTGGCATTAAAACCACGATATTGAGATCCCTTTAAGGAAGGGTAGAAGACCATTTTTTAAGAATAGTTTGCCAGAGCATAAATGTTCACAATGTTCAGAGTTAATTTTTACGTTTGGATTTAGGTTCTAATTACACATATTCTGCTATTAACTGCTTCAAAGTGTAAAATTCTTGGAAAGATAATAAATAGATAATAAAGTGGAATTTTTCAATTTTTTTCTTAGGAATTTAGTGAAAATCCTGAAAAAATTAAAATAGATAATAAAGTCGTATTTTTCATCATGCTTTTTCTCAGAATTGAGTGATAATAGGGTTGTTTATATTAAATAGATCTTCATGAAAAAATAAAAAAATTAATAAGAAAGTAATAATTATTATTTCAACTTGGTTCTATCGCATTAATAATAGGATTGAAGGTATTGATCAAGATTCTGTTTTGTTAAAATATTTTGATTTTAAATTCTGTCGTTATAGACCATACTAGCTTAACTTTGACTTTAACTCTACGTCCTTCGCTGGCAACTTCAAATTATAATATTAAATAAGAGATCATTCAAGGATAACAAAAAGATTTTTCTCCATTTTTTTCTTCATAAATTTGAGGTGGTAAATAGCAGAATAGGAGCTATAGTTTATTTCCAAATGCAAAACTTTGAACAAAATATTTATGCCCTGGCTAACTACTCGGGAAAAATGGTCTTTTACCTTTCATTGATGGGCTACTTAAAAAAGTTTCCTAAATGTGAAGGCTTCTTAATAGCGGGTGACTTTAATGTCAAAGTGATGGAGCAGTTAGTATTTAAAAAAACCATAAAGCACTAGGAACAACAGTTTTAACATAAATTCTGATGCAGGGGGGAAACTGCTTCTGAAAATGTGTCACAACCTTGACTTACATATCGAGAACATCTTTTCCAAACACCCTGACCTCAGAGAAATCTTGACTCATTTTAGTACCTCGTACAATACTTGGTCACAAATTGATTATTTCCATCTGTTCTAAAACTACGATGTGATAAGTGTGTGAGTGAAAAATGCCTCTATGAATTAATAACAGTTGATAATTTAAATATCCTCGCTTTTGCTGATGATCTATGTACAACAGCAACATCTATGTAATACCTTACAATATATCTGTAGACATAATAATCATTAAGGTGGACTGATTCTTTATACAGATAAAACTAAAGTGATGAGTATCTTTCATATTTTGCTACATAATAGCTTTTTAATAGATAATGTAGAAATTGAGGAAGTGAGAAGTCTGCAATATTTGGTCACCCTACATACGAAACGAAAGACAGAAATAGATATAGATTAAGATGATTATGACCAGATTTAAATATCACATTTTATGATAATTTGGTCTTCTAGCCAACTTTCTATTCCCCTGAAGATAAAAGTGTTCAAAACCTTGGTGCTCTCTTCATTTTATTATGGTATTGAGATTTAGAAAAAGGGATAGATACTATTACAAAAAAGGTACAATTGTTTACCAATAAGTGTCGCTTTTACCTTACTAACGCCTATCTTGATAGTACTTCTAACCTATTCCAAATGTAAAAATGTCCCTATACACCTAATTATAAATTATAGGAAAATCTAGCTAATTAATCTCATGCTAAGACTATTGCTGAAATTTAATATATCAAGCTCTAAAAGTACTTCCTGCTAAATTTTCGTCATAGCCCTTCCTGTCATTTAAGAAATTGATTTGGAATGATTACTAGATCATTAGAATATATAGGTTTTACATGGCATAACATCAAGAGTACTACTTCAAACAGATGAAAATTTTAAAAGATGTTAGCTACAATTTATGATAATTTTACTAACAATAACTGATGCATAACTAACTTAAGTTATTCAATACCTCAAAACTGGATTGTAAATTAGTAAATTTAACTCTTACTTATTATTAATTTTACTAAGATTTCTTATTATCACAATTAATACATCTGTGTTTTTTTTATCCTAGGGTTTAAAATTTACATATTTTCAACATGACACAAGTTAAATTTGCTCATTATATATCATATTGGTAGTATTTTATGATTTCAAAGAAAGTTAAAAATATTAAATAAATATTTAAATCTACTTTAAAAATGTGTAGTCTACCGCTTGTTTATTTTTTTTTATTCTTAATTTAATGTTTTTAAAACTATGCAATTTTAATAGTCCATCCTATTGTTGTTAAATGCTTCGATTTGAGCCAATTTTTAAAAATGGCTAACTTAATATATTGGCCAGAAAAATATTGCCTAAGTCTTGACATTTTGCTAATAGATGTCCTGTGCCATCTATGAGCAATATCTTCAGGCTTGCTTTATAATTTTCAGAACAAAATATTGAGTTAGTCATTTTTAAAAATTGGCTCATATCGCGCCGCTTAACAACATTACTTCCTGAGGTTAGGTATGGACTTGCAGGTCTTATATACGATATTATAAATATATACCTTTTGATTTCTAAATAATTAAGCAAGCATTGGACAAATTTGTCTGAATTGTGGCTATCTGAAAATTGAAGTGGAGGATATGTTGTGCCATCTTTGAGTATAAATATAAAATAAGGAGGATTTAATTGTGTTTTGGGCAATCTATTTTCATCAGTATACAATATGTTTTCAGAACCAATCTTATCAGTATTAACATCTTCATTATTATCTGATAAATTGAATTTAGGAGTGATGCATCTATAACATTGCAAGTCATATAACTCAAATCTAATAAATTTAATGCCAATTGATCTGTGCAAGTTCAAATTATTTTGATTTGGATCATTTAAAGTTTCATTTTTATTAATTTGATCAATATTTTCCTTGTTTTCAATTGATTTTATATTATCTTTTGAGTATAAAGAATTTTCCATGTGATCGGAATCTAATTTATTATGATAATCAATATTTGAATCTTCAACACCTATGAAAATATAAATTAAATATTTTATTATTATTTATACAATTTATTTTAACAAAGGGGGATCTTGGTACAAAATCTGCTTCTGTATTACTTATAAAATCCCATTCTCCATCGGTGTGCTTGTTATAATTAATTCTTTGCCATAACAGATAAGGTCCAAATTGCTAATTATTAATATATATTTAATCTTTATAACGAAAAGTTTACATTTTCACATATTTTCAATGTTCCAGAAATTTGCAATTCAGGATTAGTTTGATTTTGACTGGCTGTAGGATTTAAATATATGTTTTTTAATTCAAATATTATCTAATGAATATTAGAAAAATATATATATTTCAATTAAGACAACTTTATCTTTTTCGTCAATCATTACCACTATCTACTAGTTTTTAGATGTATGAATGATATATGCATTTATTATTTTGCTAACACATGATTTGGTTTGAGTAAAAATATCATTTATAGTGTAACACCTTCCAGTACACAATGTGTAGGTACAAATATAATAAACTTTTGATTTATATGATTTGCCTTTTATTAACGATAATGAAATCATATAAAAAAATTGTTGCTGTGCTGTAAAAAATTTATAGATTATTTTATACATTTTTACCATTTTAAAATCTTTGTTGTTTTGCTGTAATATGTTTTAATACTGTGCTGTAAAAAAACTAATTAATTCACAGATAGGCTTAGAAGTTTTTACCTTTTGGTCTAGTTCCATAAATTTATAGAAAAGATTAAACATTTTAAAATGTGCCTGATACCTAATATTATTGGAATATACAAAATCGAGCTTGGATGAATAGTATATAAATGCCAGAATCATTTTTCTTTTGAAGATTATTTTGACTTTGGACCCATATTAAACATTTGTAATTGTAATGAAAAAATAAAGCTAAGAATATTTTTCTATACTAGAGCCCTTCTTCGCGGCTTAGCCCTATATTTAACTCTTCTGGCAGTGGCTGGGCCTGAAAAACATAAAAATATTCTAAAGAAGAAATGGAAAATGTCGGAGAAATGGGGGATTAATATTGGAAATAAATCGGTTGGTTTATACGTTAATTGCTTTCTCTTTATATTTTTTCTTCTCTGTTAATTTATTATAAAAGGAAGAAGTTTGTTATTTTATTTATCGGAATATTTATTTTCATTTAATTTATTATAAAGGAAAAATAGTTTGTTATTTTGTTTATCGGAATATTTATTTTAATTTATTATTTATTATGGAAAATGATATCGCGTAATTTTAATATATAAATATAATTTTTATTGTAAATTAGATGTTTGTTTTTTCTTTTTCAAATTTTTTGGAAATTATTATTGGCTGAAATCAATAAAATAAAAGAAAGGAAAAAGAAAGTAAAAATAATATAGAAATTTGTTTCAGTAGTAACAATAGGGTTCAGTGATAATAATAAGTCATTTAGTAAAGTGAGCCATTTGTTAAAAGAAATGATGGCTTTTCGAGTTTTATCAAATTAAAATAACAATTTAAATTACTTCATTTATTATCACGAAAACGTTTAATTTATGCTTCTTAATAAATAGTTTGATTGTTACCCAAAGCTGATTTTTTTTGGAAATTATTACAAATTCCGAACCATACTAATCGGCCTCAAAAATGGCTCAACATTTCTTTCTTATGGCAACAAAAATAACCCTACAAAAATCTTTGGGTTTGAAATAAATACAACCCCTTACACCTAGCGTCTACATAATATTTTCTGGAGGCAGACCCCTCAAAAACCAGCCTATACCCCCCCCCCCCCCATTTTCACAAAAAATTACACCACCATTATAAAAAGAATAACTTAAATTATTCCTGTTCTATTACCAACAATGATAATATTTTGAATGTAAAGGAGTTATTTTTTAGAACAATAATTCAATTAAAAACCCCTTCATTCACAATGAATGCATTATGTAATATATTATTTGGCATGAATATGAGTTTGCTGATAGATGTCTAACCCTTTTGAATTACATTTAAAAAGAAAATTATTCAGAGATAGTTTTATTTGGAAATTGATGACAATGATTGTATGCAATATTTAGATTTGGTCGTTGTTTAGAAATATCATTGTGTTATAATATCTTTATAATAAAAATAATTTTACAGCTACATTTTGCCCAATTTCGTTTAAAAATTTAATGGATATCTCCATAATAAATTTGTCCCACTCTTAACCTACCCCCCCCCCCTTTAAATGACTACCTCCAATCAACCTTGGAAACAAACTGTTCCTATCATCTTCGATCATGTAGACGTTGATGCCAACCCTCCTTCCATTCACACATCATGGCCATCGACCTAATTTGTATCATTTTTATTCTATTTATTAAAATCGATTCAATTTTATATTTTGTTCCGCAATATATTTTTTTATAGTTAATAAAACAATATAAGATTTTATTGTATTGAATGTTTATTTTTTACGTAGTTATCAGTTTAAGTATTTATTTATAATAAAATATTAACCTATGAGATTTTTTGTGATAATTACAAAGGATAGTTACCTACCTGACTGTTTTTGTTTTTGGGTTTTTTTTTGTAAGATATCTAAACATTTATCAATATTATATACAAAAAACCATTCATTTGGAATGGCATGCATGACTCAATTATTGGAAAGCATAATTGAATAACTGAAGGTCAGAAGTTGAGAATTTCCATTTATTTCTAATACGGCTAATGATAGAGTGTATATATATGTTAAAAGATGTGCGCAAAGGCTTGATACGGGATAATTCATATTTAATTTTAATATTCACCCATGTGTTAAAATATTTTCTGAAAATAAAAATTAGCCCATTATGAGAGTGGCAGAATCATTGTTTTGCTTCTAGCTTTATCAGTGGAAATTGATATCTTTGCCATATCTATTTTTCAAAAGTGAAAATATAAATACTAGTTTTACTATATTATTTGATCTAACGAGTTACTAGTTATTAGGTATTTTAAGAATTGTATGAAACTTTGACTAGCTATTACAAGGTAGTGACTTCTACACCCCCTTACGTCAATGACAATTTTACTCCCCATTCAAAATTTTTTTTATTTACGCCCACCCCTTTTAAATTTTTAGCCCCTTTCCCCTCATAAAATTTGATCCCACTTACTCAAATGACTGAAATCAAATAATTATTACTAATACATGATAAATATTATAATATCCAAATAAAAATTAATGTAATTCGATTGCATTATAAAAATGAGGCGTATAGGAGAACTTAGATGATTAATGTCATTTAAAAGATAAATTATTTCTTACTAAATATTCAAAATTGTACAATGAACGTATAGCAAAAAAAAAGAAAGAGGATAAATATTTCAAAGATAAGTAATAAATTGTAGAATATTTTATAATGACAAATGTCTTAATATAATATAAATTTTATTTCATCTTTAATTTAAATTGTAGAATATTGTATAATGATAAATGTCTTAAAAATAAATATTACGCTAAAGAACGAATGGGGCACCATAACCTAATTTTTTTTATACTCCTGAGAATTAAGACCCTTCTCTGTATAGGTAGAACACGCTGTGAATATGGATAGAGACATATAAGATTATTAGAAATATACTCGAATGCTACTTTATAGATTTTTTTATATCGTAGCCTGTGAATTATTTTATTCTATCATCATTTTTGACAAAACTGATTTTTTTTGATAGATCGATTATTTAATTATTCATAAAATTAATTATAGGCAGTATTAGATCATTCTATTTTCCTATTTCTTCTTATTGTTAAAATTATATAATTCCATTTACAAAAAATAATCAATTCACCCAGCATATATGATTATTTAAAAAGCTTTCAAGTGTTATACGTAAATGGAATTAAGAGTTATTTTAACTGATTATAGATTTTATACAGAGATCTTGATATAACTGATCCAAAAACAGAAAATTTAAAAAAAAGATTATTTTTATCTATTCCAATAAAATATTACATTAAAATTTTAGTCTGTTATCTTGTTTACATTTTAATTATTATTAATATTCAATAATATTTATTTGAAGGGAAGTTGTTTGGAGATAGGATAATATTAATAAAAAAAAAATTTGGTATTTATTCATGGTTTTAACAATATAAAGAGATAAACCTAAAAATAATACATGAATGTTAATATTTTAAAACTGTGTGACCCTCTTTTATAAAATTTGCTTTACCTATTAATTTACCCCAGTCCAGGATCTCGAATTAACCTGTGAACATTTAGACCCTGAAATCATCCTTTTATTTTAAAAAAAACTTTGGCACATAAAATACGAATCCACCATATTGAAGGCCAAAGAATTCCTTTTCTTAAAATTAAAAAATACTAATAGAAATATCTTAATATAATTACTGCTATTTAGGAACTCAATTCCATTTTTCATAATTGTGCCATTTCCTATCTTTTTTTTAAAACATAATTTTGTATTTTATATCTTTTTTTAAAATAGTATATATATATATATATATATGAATGTAATTTTGGAAAGAAATAACGAATTATTTTATGTAATGACGAATCATTGATTTATGGGGTATTTCGTATTATTTATTCAATGGAAAACCAGATGGTCTTATTAAATACTAATGTATGATTGCTTATGGCCATACAAATCAAAGTTAAAAAAGTAAGTCATCTGTTTTTATATTCACATCTGACAACCAACTCCGTTCTAGAAATATTTTAAAGATACCCTAAAACATTTAATTTTAGCTATATGGAAGCCTTTTTAAACACAAATATATATTTTTTCCAATTATAAGTCACTCAGTACGCTTTTTGTACTTTTTTTTAAAGATATTATATTATAAAATAAAAATTTATTGAATAAATTATTATCCCTTCTTTGAGAATAAATTTTTAAAGAAATTACCTAAAAATATGTAAAAATCGCTTTGGAAAAACGTTCTGTTTGGAAATAGCTTTATAGTGCGCACAAATTGAACGTTTCAAACGCTGTGTTTCAAAACGCAAATAATGCATTTTAACCCTGAATTCATAGTTAAGAGCGATTGCGATCGCGATTTAAGCCGCGATATCGCGACTGATCAGCTGGATCGATCGCAGCGATTTTTATTCATAGTGCAAATCGATTTTTATTATTTTAAAATGGTATCCAACATCAAATTATCATTTTTATATAAAATGAATTTGTGAAGAGGAGAAGATTAAACCCTTTTTGATAAAAGAACAGAGGGCGAATTTTACCTCCTCTTTTTTAGACTTTTAAAAAATGAGGCTAAATTTTATAAATGTATGACAATGACTAAAGTATTTATTAAATTTATTTTATCTTTACTTCAATTTTATATAGGAAACTTTTTATTACATAGTAAAACATATAAAATCAGTATTATATACTACAACCACAAATTTTATAAAAGGTCCTATA